CTCTTTTACATATATATAGGATTATTCTTGATCTACGACTGTTAAAATGGTAAAAATTTAGTGCATGTTTATTACTCCGTACATATAAGGAGGAAATAAACTTGATCTACAGTTGTTGAAAAATGGTAAGAATTTAGTGCATTATTATTACGCTAAAGAAGGAAATAAATAAAAATGGTAAGAATTAAAAAAAAACCTTGAATCGCGTTTTATTGTGGAAAAAATACCGTTTTAAGGTGCATCATTACATTATATGAAGGAAATAAATTATTAAACGGTGCATTATTACATTATATGAAGGAAATAAATTTTAATGGAAATAAATTATTATACGGTGCATTATTACATTATATGAAGGAAATAAATTTTAATGGAAATAAATTATTATACGGTGCATTATTACATTATATGAAGGAAATAAATTTTAATGAAAATAAATTATCATACGGTGCATTATTATACTTCCAGTTTTCAAGCGAGTAATTTTTCTATATTTTTTTATATGGAAATAAATCAATGGATGCTTTATAAAAACTCATATGAAATGGTAAGAATTTAAATATCCTTTCAAAGCCTTTTTATGTGGAAATAATTAAATTATTACAGTGCATTATTCTTATTATTATATTAAAAGAGGAAATAATTTTTTATAGAAATAAATCACCAATTTTGTAAAGGGACGGTTATAAACTTTATCGAAAATAAATCAATAGTTTTGCATTATTATGAAAAATTTTATAATTTTGTTTCTTTTTCAGAAATAAATTATTATACCGTGCATTCTTATACTTCCATTTTTGTAAAGGTACAGTAACAAACTAAAGTTTAAAACTAAAATTTTTTTGTAAAATTTTGTTTCCTCTGCGGGAATAAATTAAAATAATGCATTATTATATTTCCACATTTGTAAAGGATCGGTAACAAACTAAAGTTAAAAAGTAAAACACTAATCTAAAAATGTTAAGATTTCCACATTATTATATTTCCACATTTCCACATTATTATATTTCCACATTATTATAATTTTTTTGCATTATTACCTTATATATAGATTTTACAAAATTAAAACACTAATCTAAAAATGTTAAGAAATTAATAATCATCCCGTGTGTTATTTTCATAATATATTTTTATATATAAAGTTATAAACACTCATCTAAAAATGGCAAGAAACAAATATTTAACTGATTATATTTAGTATATATTTTATATGGAAATAGATGAACGGGTGTTTAATAAAAACACTAATATAAAAATGGTAGGAATTTCAATATCCTTTAAATAGCCTTTTTATGTGGAAATAAATTATTATAATGTATTATTATTACATTGGAATAGGAATTTTTTTATGGAAATAAATTAATTATTATATAAAGGGAAATTAATAAATTATTTTGGAAAAAAATCAACAATTTTTCATTTTTTTAAACAATTTTATAATTTTACATTATGCAATTTTATTTTCTTTTCAGAAATTATACTTCACTTTTGTAAAGGGAGGGTAATAAACTGAAATTTAATATAACTTTATATCATAACTAAATATACTTTTCTTTCATTCGCAATCCAAATTTATAAAAGATGACTAAAAAGTAAAAAGATAAAAATAGAAGATATTTCGAACGAAGAAAGTATAAAAAGAGAAATTTACCTAAATAGGACTAAAACATAATGACTTCCCCAATATAGGACTATATGCTTTTATTTCCCAATGTAGGACCTTTGGTCATTATGAAGTAGTTATTATTCAAGTAAATGTCCATTATTACTGGATGTTATTCCTCCCACTAGGTCATTATTAAGTCCTATTTAGGGAATAAAAAAGTTTAAGTCCTACATTAGGAAAGTCATTATGTTTTAGTCCTATTTAGTGCAAATTTCACAAGTATAAAATAATATGAGATGATGAATTGATGATAGATTGATAAATGCGATATGACAAAAAATGAATGAATAATTAAATTTTCCCACAAGTTTTTTTGCATGTGTGAATTTGTATTTATGAACTTTTAAAATAGTTTTAAAAAATTCAGAATTATTTAATTTTTATTTGAAAATAAATATATTCGGTATATTTTATAGTTAAAAAATTGTTATCTTTAAAAATCAAGTAATATTTATTAATTATAATCTAATATGCTACGGTGTATATTTTTTTATTTTTCAATCATTTTAATCAACGAAATATAAAATTTAAAATTTCATTTGTATATAAAAAGCAAATATCTAGTCTTTACTTTTTGAAAATATGAGTATCGCCTTATTATTTACGTATTTGTTAGACATTCAATATTAATTTTTAATAATAATAAAAATAATAGAATGAAAATAAAAGGTGTGAAATAGCATACGTATATGACATTAAAAATAGATGGAGGAATAATAACATAAACTAAAATACTTTTATTGACTAAAAATATCTAATATATATTATAAAATATTATTATTATAATAAACTTACAAAAAAAATTATTATAATAAACATAGTTGACTGGGTCGTCCATGATCTGAGAATTAATTCACGTATTCTCAGTTTCAATAAACATAGGTAATTCACATATGTCAGTTTCATGCGTGAATTAAAAGTAAAATATTATTAAAATATTTTAAATAAAAATAATTATTAAAAATCAAATTTAGCACTAACTTTAATGTACAAGTATTCTGCACCAAGAAAACTAGGACCCAACACGTGAATCTTGCACGAAGCTAATCTTATTTTTTCACATTTCCGGGTCGTCCTTGAGGAGTAAAAGTAGTTTTTGAATAGAAAAAAGAAAAGACTTTATGAGACACAAATATTAAAAAAGAAAAATTTTTGGAGACGGAAGGAGTACGATTTGCTTATTTTAATCTTTTTCCCTTACATATTGCCTATTAAAAACAAGGGATTTGCTACGGTGCCTTCCAAAATAAAGGGGCATGGATGCCCCTCCATCCAATTGCCGCCATGTGGATTGCTACTACGTGGATTGATAAAGCATTCCATACTCCATATCACTTTAGCTTCGAGAAATTGCAAAATGTCCTCTCCACTTAATGTTAAGTTACTAATCTTTTATGGAGTATTATTTTACCTGTTAAAAAGTTTTTCACTCAATTCAATTTTTAATAACTTATATTGGCTTATTCCCTGTATATTTTTTTAGTTTGATTTTTTAGAGTCAAATTGGATAAAATTTAAGTTTGAATTGTTCTCAATTTGTATTACTCCGTATATATTACTTCGCCTCTGTTCTCAAAACACTTCCTATTTCATTTTTTCCACTTCCAACAAAACACTTCGCCTTTCAATTAAAAAACCACTTTTACCCTTACTTTTTCATACCCTACCTATCACATCATACTTTTTCTCTAATAATTTATCCATCACATCTTACTTTTACCCATCACATCAGGGACAAAATTGGAAATCAACTATAATTTAACACTTCTTTATTTTTGCTCCAAATCAAAATGGGAAGTCTTTTTGCAAACGGAGGGAGAAAAATTTTGAAAGTTCTCATCAAAATAAATCTAAGAAAAATCATTTTTATACTAATATTATTAGAGTATATAAAATCATTCTTGAGCCACAGCTACAAACTTAAGCTTTTGGTTAAATTGATTCCCTGACATCGTATCAAAGCTTTAATGACTAAGAGGTCACGAGTTTGAAACTCACTGCTACTCAATTTTAAAAAAATTAAAGTTTCACATGCAAGACTTAAAAAAGGCATGCCTGTACGCGAGGGGCGTGTTAGAGTTTATAAAATTATTTATGGGCCAAAAACACAAACTTGAGCTTTTGGTTGAATTGGTTCTTTAACAAATTTACATTAAATTTTTGTTTTTATAAATCTTAAAGTTCATCATGTTTGACTCCAAAAAGTCAAAGTAGACAAATACACTGGAATGAAAGAAATATTTGTTTGCATATTTTCATTTATCATTTGATAAGATAAAATATTCTTGTCACATCTTATTTTGTTGAACTTTTGATGTAGTTTTGAACAATGTTACTTTTTTATATAAAAATTTGCGAATAAAGGTAATTTTAAAAAAGATAAGATTTTGCACGTTGTTCAAAATGAGAAGATAAAAATGGACGGAGCGAGTAAATTTTCTTAGAAATATTTACATGAATAATCCAAAAAATTCGTAAGTGTACGTTAGTAATCCAAAATTCAATAAATTATACTACAGGTCCTGAAAATTCTACGTGTTACAATGTTAACTGGTGGCTACAAACCCAGCTAAATACCACGTACATGAGATTTTAAATGTTAACTGAAAAAAGTCAAAATTGAACAAATACTTAGGGACAGATGTAATATTTCATGTGTATTTAGTTGCCAACTCATACTTATCAATTGTCTAATTAACATTTTAAATATCACGTATTTAGTTCAGTTGGCAACAGCTGGATAAAAATGTGAATATGTACTACTTCTGTCCCTAAGTATTTGTTCAGTTCTGACTTTTTGCAGTCAACTATTTTAAACTTTTCACCTAAAATTAAATAAAATATATATGAAATATTAATAAGATAAAATTATATTATAAAAATAGATTATAAAATACATCTGATAAAATTATTTTTGTATCAATATCTAATACTCTTTTAATTATTGTAAAAGCTTACAATTTTTTTGAAGTATTCATGTAATTGTTTCTAAAAAAATATTAAAAAAAGAGTACTCAAAAAATTAATACTCCATAAAAAGAAGTAAATTAACATTAATGATTTTACAATCAATTAATTATGGGACAGAGTGAGGCAGGGCCATTTTGTATTTTCTCAAAGTTGAAGTGATATGGAATTGTTTTTTAATCCACGAAATTTGCCTTCCATATGGCATCAATTGAGTTGAGGGGCATCCATGCCCCTCCATTTGCAAAGGTACGGTAGCAAATCCCTAAAAACAATCCAGGAAGAGCTACCCCCCTAACTATCTGGATTCCTGCATCAACCATTTATTTAGATATTTGTATACTGCATTATACTTCACAATAGGACAAGGCATCGATAACATTTATGATTTATTTAAATTGCATACTTCACTAAGCATATGCATGCATTGCCGGTCGTACATCCACACGTACATATGCATGCATGCATTTTATATTGGTACATTCATAGATGCATGCGAGATTAATTAATTAATTAATTAAGAAATACTACTCTGTAATTATTAAAGGCTGGTCGTTGTTGAGTGGATGAGGAGACCCGTTATTGCTTGCCGCAGTAGGAGGGGTGCAAACACAAAGATATAAGCCGCCGCATTTGCAATTTGGTGAGTAGTTGCAATCGGCGTCGTTCTTGCATGGCATGGCCACATTCCTTGCTTCCGTCCTCCCTGATGGACTAATAACGCCTAAAAAGAACGTACGTATAGTATGTATAGTTGTTAATTAATACAAACCAAATACAATATTTGAAATGAGATAGACATATAGATACATATATACATATATACATATACTCCTTTGGTCCTACAAAACCTTTCTATTTTTATACATTTAAAGGATTTTGATGTTTACTTTTTAAAAATAATCTTGGATGGTGATAGGTAAAAAGTAGGATATGATACGTAGATTAATAGTGATCGAAAAAATGTGATGTGATTGATAAGTTAAAAATTAATATAAAAAAAAAGTGACTTTTTTAAAGAAATTAGAAGGATTTTTTGGAAAGAATGAAAAAAGAAAAAAAAGAAAAGTTTTATAGGATGGAAGGAGTATACCTTATCAATCAATTGTTGAAATTGAAAAAGCTAGCAAGTAGTCCCGCTTTTTAAAATGTTTCCTATTTTATTTTTACGTGCAAAACCTTGTTTTTTTAAAATGATTGTATTTACATATTAGTATATATAAATAAAAAATAAAACTTACAAATTTAAAAAACTACGGAGTATATCAAAAAACGTACGGAACAAATGGTGACAAGAATATTATATTTTGTCAAATAACTAATAAAAAACACACATAAAAAAATTAATCGGAATACTTTAAATAGGAATTTAAATAAATAAATAAATAGGAATGGTTTTGAGAAGAGTAAGTTACTTAAATAGGACTAAAATATAATGACTTTCCCAATATAAAACCATATGTTTTTATTTCCCAATGTAGGACTTTAGGTAATTATGAATTAGTCATTATTCAAGTAAATGTCAATCATTACTAGACATTATTCATCTCACTAAGACATTAATAAGTCCTATTTAGGAAATAAAAAAGTTTAAGTCCTAGATTAAGAAAGTCATTATGTTTTAGTCCTATTTAGTGCAAATTTCACTTTTGAGAATGTAATTAAGAGAGTAGAAGCATTTCATCATAGAATTGAAGGGGAAGTGGACGTACAAAATGTAACCACAAAGAGAGTCATGATGACCAGAGCATGATGCATGGTTCTTGAATCCATCCGGCCCCTAATTATAAATATTGATCCAACAGATTTGAATAATATCTATTTCTTTAATTGTACTGTATTTTTATGTTGTATGGAGGGAGGGTGTGGCGACTATTTATACCACCAATTTTCGCAATTTACTCCGCATTCATTTATACTGGTACCAAACTCGACCCAAATTTTTACCAAGGAACATGCACGTATCTGAATTTTTTTATTTTGTTTTTACTTGTGATTTTATATTATTTTCCTTTTTTGCCAATTATGAAATAAGAAGTATGATAATACCCTTTTTAATACCCGTCCCAGATTAAAGTTCACGATTTAACTTTCAATGAAATTTAAGAAACTAAAATATTTTATTGAGATTAATAAAAATTAAAACATAAAGAAAGTAACAAAATAGGAGTTTCATGTTTTTATTCTCTAAATATGATTTCGCACTTTGATCATGGGGTACTGTACACGTACATTTTACTATACTTTTTGGTAATGTACATTGTCATGATTTATAATATAAATACATTTTAACTCCTATTTCGTGAATAAAAACATGGAAGTCCTATTTTGGTATATTTTTAATTTTTACTCATACTTTAATCTTTTTCCCATTTCTTAAGAAAAAAATTAATTAATATGGGAGTGGTTTTTCTACGATCCTAAGGTCCACATGTAAAATGAAGATTTTCTCGTGCTTTTTATGGACTCACAAATAATTTTTTTTGTAAAATACTCAATTCTTTTATGATATCAATGTATTAAGGTCCATAAAATTGTTATGAAGTTTAGAACCACGTAAGAATTTGTCTTAAAATTTATATGTATATATATATATATATATATATATATATATATATATATATATATATATATATATATATAGGGCCGGCTCAAGCCAAGGGCAAGATGGCCTCTTGGACAGGGCCCAATAGTAGATGGGGCCCCACTTTTTTGTAAATGTATTACACATATTTATTTACTCCGTATTATTTAATTATTTAATTTATATACTTTTCGTCTCAATTTAAATCATCTATTATTGTTTATAATGTTTGATTGTAATTATTTTTAATTCATTTTATTTAAAAATTAGTGTAGAATTAGAAATAAAATTTACATATTTAAAAAGTACATCAAAAGTCCTATATCAACCAATTGGATCTCAAAAATGCAAGAAAAACTTCAGGAATCTTTGGCCAGTTATTAACGTATGTAATTATAGATTTATAAGACTACACACTTGACTTTTTATTATTCTTATTACTATTGTACAGAGTAATTTTTTTATTATTAAAAATATACTCCCTCCGTCCCGCTATATTCGTCCATTTTTACTTTTGGAACTGTTCATCTAAGCACTTTGACTCATCAAATTCTCTCAATGTGTAAGCCTAAATATAGTCATGCGTGATCTTGTTTGATTTGTCTTAACATATAGATTATTAATATATAATTTCTATAATTTTTTAATATACAAATTACAAGATAAAATGGATTAAAGAAGTGCATTGGATGGTGTGTAAAAATGAAAGTGTACAAATATAGTGGGACGGAGGAAGTAATTTATAGATTTTGCTTCATTATGTCACGATGACCGATTTTCTCGGGATTGTCCAGGGCCCATAATTTCTGGGAGACGGCCCTGTATATATAACAAAAAAGAAATAGAAAGGAAACTTAAAAATGAACAGAAAATAGGAAAGGAGCTTCATTGGACAGAACGGGAAATTACCCAACGTAGACATAGCGACACAAATGACTGATGAAAGTCAATTGAATCATGTTCCAGCAGTAGATATAGCTACACGTTTTCAGGAACATTACGAACATGGTTATGATCGAAGTTGTTACAGGTAGACGAAGGCGCAGATTGTGCAAAGACACAGGTACATTTGTTATCAGCAAAAGATTAAGAAGACTCCATCAGTTTGATATTATATCTTTGACTTGTTCTTCCGTGGTGTTGTGGGACTATATTATTACTTCCAACCTTCTCCTTATTTTTCCATCTCTTTCAAAACACTTCTTATATCATAAAGTCATTTTTACTCTTATTTATTCTTAATTTATTTATCACATCACACTTTTTTATTACTAATCTACCCATCGGCCATCACATCACTTTTACGTATGACATGCATCCAAGGTCATTTTTGAAAGCTCAACACCAAAATACGCTTCTCTTAAATCGCTTAAAATCAAAACAAGAAATATTTTGTGGGACGGATGGAGTATTATTATAAGGCCAAATAGCACAAGTACTACCCCTCGTAATTTGTTTTTTCCCTTTTTTGTTTCTTTTATTTTTTGTTTTTTCCCTTTTTTGTTTCTTTTATTAATTGAAGTTTTTTAAATTCTTTTAAAATTTTTTTTATAATGTTCTTAAATTTTAAAATTATATTTTTTTTTGAAAAAAATTACATATACTGCATTTGTACATCTCAAATTAAGAATTTTTATTTTTTGTTTTCCAATATAAAATATTTAAAACTTGTTTTGAGAACTTAAAAAATGCGGAATAAAATAAGATATAAAATAAAACAAAAAATAAAAATGAATATCCTTGTTGGACATCCCAATTCTAAGCACTTTTTAGGCGTTCTAAAAATTCCCTATTGTATAAAACTCTTTTTTAGATGTTTTGGTTTTTTTTCATTTCATTTTTCCATATTTTATATTATTTTTATATTTCTATTTTCTTTTTTAACTTAACAAAAATATTATTCTAGAAAACGAAAAATTGAAATGTTTAATTTAAGATAGATGGAGTATATTTTAATTTTTTTATTTCAAACACTAACAATCTTGAATTTTTAAAAACATCATAAAAAATTTAAAAGAAGTTTTAAAAAAATTTCTAGGCAAGGGAAACAAATAAAGTAATAAAAAAAGAAAAAAAGAAAAAAAAAAGTAATACACAAAAATTAAGAAATGAGCATGTGTTCCCCCTATGGTTTAGAAAACAAGCACCAATGCTCCCTTTTGCTAGAAAAATGACCGGAAAAAGATCAGATGGGGTGTGGGTGTAAAATGTTGAAACTACGAGGATTTCAGAAATAAGTTTCAAAACTAAAGAGGGTATCGATGCCAATTTTTCAAACCACAGAGGGCACGGGAGCTAATTGGACATTATTGTTATTATTTTTACTATTACTACTATTGTTATTTTAATAGGTAATTTTCTTATTTATGGTTAGTCAATTAATATTAGGGAATATTATTCTCATTATGTTATTTATTAGTTTCTTAGTTTATTTAATTTCCTCTTAGAGTTTGGAGTCTCTTAGGATTCTAGAGTTCTATTCTATAAATTGGGATGTATGTGCTTAAAATTATTCCATCAATCAAAGAATAATATTATCATTCCTAGACTTTAATCAAACATCTTGATTAAAACGGGGCACATCAACTTTGCTACAAGTTGATCTTGCAAGTCCTATTGTTTGGACTTTGCAGTTGTTGAAGAAGCTTGACCTTCGAAGGAACAACAAAGCCAGCACGAGTGCAGTAGCAAAATTGGACTTGCGAAGATATACCGTGAAAAAATTCACAAAAGTGTAATTGTTGGTTCATTATTCAACAACCAACTACATAGTGGATTTTGAGGACGTAGAAGGATTACCCCACCTTCGAACCTAGTTAAAGTTTGCGTGTCTCTCTCTCTTATCTTTACTTATATTTGTATTTATATTAACTGTGAAAACTAACCCATCCATATTGTTTACTGCTCCAACAATCCACCAACTTTCGCACATAATCTAAGTTCACAAGAACTTTAGATTAACACTCTTTTCACGTTTTTAAAGAAACGAAAAAGTTTTTAAATTTGTAACAAAGTCTATACACCCCCACCCTCTAGACTTTGTATCTCACCACTTAGGGGACCACCAGTGGTATACGCGAATTCCTTTTGTGTGTTGAAATAAGTAATTTTTCAGAAACTATCGTTTCTAAAGGAGTTTTAGTCCTTTCGGAGTTACAGCAGCCTCTTCTTTGTCAACATTCTGTCTCCAATTCAAGCAGCTGCGAAGATAAAGAATTATATGGGTCTCTCTCTGATTTTGAAGCAAACCGAACCTTGTGCATTTGGGATGAAGACAATATACCATCACAAATGCGATTTTCCCCTGGCTCTGTATTCGACGCATTTCGTGGAGATGAAATACCTGAGAATAATGTCCAAACTAATGAGCTTGATTGCAGTAACTATCTTGAATCCAACCCGTCTAGTTATGTAATAACTCAGCAGGACATTGCCACAATGAAGGAGATGCATGTTACATCTCGGTTCGATCCAACTAGAATGGTTGTTGATGCCATTTATGGTGGTCCCAAAGTGGTGAGATACAAAGTCTAGAGGGGGGGGAATAGACTTTGTTACAAGTTTTGAAAACTTTTTCGTTTCTTTTGAAAACGTGAAAATGAGTGTTAATCTAGAGTTCTTGTGAACTTAGACTGTGTGCGGAAGTTGGTGGGTTATTGGAGCAATAATCAATATGGATGGGTTAGTTTCACAGTTAATATAAATGCAAGTTTAAGTAAAGATAGAGAGAGACACGCAAACTTTAACGAGGTTCGAAGGTGGGGCAATCCTTCTACGTCCTCAAAATCCACTATGTAGTTGGTCGTTGAATAATGAGCCAACAATTACACTTGTGTGAATTTCTGCACGGTATATCTTCGCAAGGCCAATTTTGCTACTGCACTCGTGCTGGCTTTGTTGTTCCTTCAAAGGTCACGCTTCTTCAACAACTGCAAAGTCCGAACAATAGGACTTGCAAGATCAACTTATAGAAAAGTTGATGTACCCCGTTTTAATCAAGAAGTTTGATTAAAAGTTGTATCCTTCAACGTGGTGTGGTACTTGAGGCAAGGAAACCTTCAAGTGTTTACACTATAGCTCTTTGGAAGAAGGAGGAGTTTGCTTCTAGATAAGGAGTTTTAGAAATCTCTCTTTATCAAGCTTTTGGCTAACTGTGAGTGTGATAGCTTTTGTTAGTTGTTTGCTATTGTTGCACTTCTGTATTGTTGCTATCTTGTATTCTTCAGTCTTCCATGAGAGCTATATATAACTGGATGGATAATCTATCCGTTGAAGGGAATAGACTATCTGTTGCATTTGCTGGCTTCAATTTGAACGAAGAGTTTGATTGAGGATTCTTCATTGGAATGGGTGTTTGGACATACTCAATTGTTTGAAGAAGGATTCCTTTTTCACAGAATCCGTCATCTACCTGTTGTTCAAGAATTTTGGACTGTAGCTCTTTATTGAGTGGAATACCCATTTTGTCTTCTTGTGTTTGTTTAGGAATTCTAGGCGAGCTCTTCAATTTGAGAAGTCCAGACTTTGTCTTTAAGTCATTTGTTCTTGAATCAACTTAATTATCCTCAATCTAGCCGTTGAAAATCAAGAAATTGATTTTTCCTTACCAACGGGTAGAATTTCTTCATTCATGACTTATATATTTTTCTAAGTCTTTTCTCACTAGTCTGCTTCCGAGAGTTCCGGTCTTCCTTGAGACATCCGGTTCTTTAGCTGACAGTTCCAGATTAGTCATTCTCAGACTTCCGGGTGAGAAAGAAATCCGCGCTAGTCTTCCGATCCGGATGACTTAGCCTTTAGCGGGTTGTTGCGAGACGTCCGGGTATCATAAAGTATTCCGGATTTGAGAATATTCAAAGTAACCAACTGCTTTGAGAGTTCCTTACTTGTCTCTGACTTTTCCGAGCAAGAATTCCAATTTCCATATCACTGAATTTGATTAAGTCTTCAAAGATTGACATCAAACCACAGAGTGAAATATCACACGTTTTATTGGAAATCTCAAGAACTCGGTTTTAACAATATTTCTAAAAAGGTAAATTACATTGAATATTGGGGGTGACCTAAAGTCCCTATTACAATCTAAATACATCATCATCAAAATCTATAATATTTTTCCCAACAATTTATTCCAGCAAAAACGACCTTGATATCCATTTGAAGATGTTAGCAATTTCTAACCAGTTCCAGTACCAGATCCGAACCACCAAAAAATCTTGTCTTCATGTTGTATGTGTGGATTTTCCTCGTTGCATATGGGCTGTTCAGGCTGTGTGTTTACGAGGCGTTGAGATGTTCCAGATTCGTAGGTGCGTTCACAGTCCATTTTGAAATCACTTTGCATTGCTTTCAATAATGTCTATGTGATGCGTAATGATTTCCAGTTATTAATTCCCTTTTTGTACATTTCCAATCCTTAAACAATCCCTGATTTTTTAGACGCTCCATCGTAATGCCCTCACCTAGTTACATGCTAATCAGGATATTATGCTCTGTTATCTAACAAACTTTAGCTTTTTACTGACTAAGAATGACGTCGTAAGTCCGTTTCCTATCCATGTTAATGACTCAAAAAATGATACTCTCTCCGTCCCATAAAGTGTTACCCATTTTGACTAAAGTTGAAATTAAGGGAGTGATAATTTTGTGTTGACTTTCCAAAAATACCCTTGATGTGATGGGTAAAAGTAGGATGTGATGTGTAGGTTATTAGAAAAAAGGTATGATGTGATAGGTATGGTTTGGAAAAGTAAGGGGTAAAAGTGGTTTTTTAATAGAAATGAGTAAGGGATTGTGGGACGCAATTTTTTTGAAACATGTAAATCTTTTTGGGACGGAGGGAGTATATGTTAATGCCTTAATGTGATTACGTCCTAATCAGGACATTATGTTCTATTATGTATCAAACCTTAGCTCTTTTATAGACTAATCAGGACATTATGATCAGTTATCTAACAAACTTTAGCTCTTTTACTGACTAAGAATGACAACATAGGTCCGTTTCCATTCCTTGTTAATGACTGGAAAAATGCTATCTGTTAATGCCTTAATCTGATTATGTCCTAATCAGGACATTATGTTGTTTTATGTATCAAACCTCAGCTTTCTATAGACTTATCAGGACATTATGCTCTGTTTTCTAACAAACTTTAGCTTTTTACTGACTAAGAACGACGCCCTAGGTCCATTCCCAATCCCTGTTAATGACTGAAAAATGCTATCTGTTAATGCCTCTATCTGTTAATGTTGTAACATGTTAATGCCTTATTCAGGACATTATGTTCTTTTATGTACCAAACCTCAGCTACTTACAGACTAATACATGTTCTTACCCACACAAATTCTGCATGTTAATTGTATCGTTCACGTGTTTTTTTCCCTAGGTACAACAGTTCACATCAATGCCCTATTGATGCGCGCCAAGGCAAAACACGTCAAGCTACGTATCACATTATTGCAGAGCTTGTTAAACACAAATTTTGTGATGCAACAACGAAGCCGTACCCCCATTCTATTCTTATTACCGACATGCGTAGGGAGCATGGAATTGCAATGACTAATAAGAAGGCGTGGTTTGCTAAAGAGAAGGCTCTGGAAATTTGTTTTGGGACAGTACAAGAATCATATGCTGCTTTGCCATCCATGTGTTTTATGCTCAATCAGGCTAATCCCGGTTCTCTAATTCAGCTCACAACTATGCCTGACCACTTGTTCAAGTATTTATTCATCTCTCTTGCACCCTGGAGAGAAGGTTGGCCCCACTATGTTCCAGTGCTAATTATTGATGGGTCATTTATGAAATCATATTACAAAGGGACACTTTTAACTGCAATTACACGGGATGGGAATAACCAAATATTCCCACTAGCTTTTGGTGTTTGTGATGCCGAGAACGATGCAAATTGACGCTGGTTTCTGTCAAGAGTTAAGCAAGCTCTCAAGCACCGTCCATCCTATGGAATATATTGTCTCAGACAGGCATTATGGAATTATCAAGGTAGTTAAATCTATTTTCCCTAAAGCGGGGAACGACCATTGCATATTCCACATATTTGAAAATATCAAGACTAATTTCCATGGCTCCAAAAAGTCATTACCTTGGAAGTTTTATTGCGCTGCAAGGGCAGCTTTAGAAGCAGAGTGCGACCGATATTTGAAGTATTTGGATAGCGATGACCCCAGGATTATTGGATACCTCAAAGAAATTAGGAAAGAGAAGTGGGCCAGATCATGCTCGAATCAACGTTATTCTATAATGACCTTTGACCTTGTAGAGTCCATGAACAATGTTGATGCTGTCCCACGTGAATACCCAATTTCACAACTTGTTGATTTTCTAATGGGAAGGACCCAAAGGTGGTTCCACGAGCGTAGGGAATTGGCAAACTCAACGCCATCAACTTTAACAAAGTTCTACGAGTCGGAGCTTAATGAACTACATTCCGCTTCAGCTGTTATGGAAGTAAGTTTTATTTTTATCTAAGTGAATGTGCCACCCTATATACCTTGCAACTTAATATTATTTTGCATATTCTCCATATCTTAATTAGGTCACTATCCCCATCGTATTTCATACGTCAATATTACAATAAAAGCTTTAACATGATTTAGATTTGAAGACATTAGGTCCACATCTGCCGGCGTATACTCTTGGCCATTATTACTATAACTCTATTCGTATTCAGATTTTATTGGTCATTATTCAAGGAACGTAGCGTCAAGTTAGTAAGTGCACATATGCTATACATAACTTCGGGTCATTATTTAGTCCAAAATACATCATTACACATATTCTATTGGTCATTATCATATCACCCTTTTTGGTCCTAACTTGCACATCCGTAATTCACATCAGAGTATTTCACACTTAGGATCATTATGCTTTAGGTCATTAACACATTACTTATTATACATTTTCCTTGGGCATTATTTTTTTAGGCGTACACTCCTTTAGCTCCTTATGATATCACTTTTCTATTGGTACACTTGTATGTCTCGTACACATGCATTGTTCCTTATTCTTACCACATCTCCTAACAGTATAACTCACCCATTATCTATGTTCTTACGGTGTTGCTTTATTTTTCCAGGTTAGGCCAGCTTGTGCTTTCGAGTTCCTTGTCCTTAACAAAAATGGTCGTTCGTTTGTGGTGAACTTTCAAAACAGGACGTGCACTTGCTGCGAATTCCAGCTGGACCATTTTGTGTGTGTTCATGTGGTTGCTGCCATGCGTTGTTGAAGCGGTTTGTCTTGCTATGATTACGTCTCATCCTTTTACACCACTACTGCATGGAGAGCTACATATTTTGGAATCATACACCCCATCCCATCTAAAGAATCTTGGGTTGTTCCCGATGAGGTCGCACAGGTTGTTTGCCTCCCACCATCATGTGATAAACGTCCACCTGGAAGGCCCAAGAAGCGAAGGATCCCGTCAAAAGGTGAACATGCTAAGCGCCAATCTTGCTCATGATGCAAATCGACGGGCCACAATAGGAAGACGTGCACTAATCCCATTACTTTAACTCGTGCTTGACTCCATATCAAGACATTATCAAGAAATTTGTTTTTTAATTCGTTTCTTTGTTTAGTCCAGTTTTACCGTTTCTTTCATTGATTTTTCAGAACAATATCTCATTTAATAGTATTACACATAATGATTTCATTTAACACATACATTTTAAATCATTTTGGTCATTTTATATGCCAGTGGTTTGTCATTCCACCATTTACGTTACGGATATTTGCTTACATAACACTTAAGCATAATGACTTTCTCAATATATGACCATTTTTTAACTACCCAATGTACGATTGTTGTACATTTTCCATTAGTCGCTATTCAAGTACATGTCAACGAACACTGGACATTATGGCTCCCGTTAGACATTATTAAGTCATATTTAAGAATTTAAAAAATTACGTACTACATTAGGTCATTAATGTCCAAAAAAAACCATTTATCAACACCGTTGGCATGTCTTTATATATGCGGAAAAAAATCCAGTCCCTATCCTCTACTTGCTTCCCTATCTATCTATAAAATATTAAGAACAGTAATGAAAAGAACAATACTCAAATAAATCTACACAACTTTTGCATGCATTCCTAATGTGCCTAGAACGTAAACACCACAACAATACTTTCGTCCAAATATGCTAAGTAACATTGAGGAGTGCCGCCATGCCCCATGCATCATCAACCGGTATAGATCTCTGCAACCAGGTTCGTGATATTGGCCGGGTGTTCGGGCAAGTGCAAAAAGTAATGGAAGATCGATTTGATCGGATAGATGTTGCGTTGTCGGAAATTCAAACCCACTTGGCAAAGTCTGCGGGCGGTAGCATTAACGAAGTCACCCATGCACCCAAGCTGGATATGCCCAAGAGTGATGGCTCCGAACCCGTGCGTTGGTTGCATTTGGTAAAAGAATACTTTGCATATTATGAAACCCCCTCAAAGGATCGTCTGCAATATGTGACATCGATGTTGGAAGGGGCCGCTACAGATTGGTTCCGTTGGCGTATGAATTACGGGCTCATTAATGATTGGGATGATTTTGTGCACAAGTTCAAAATTCGATTTGATCCTTTTCATTACGTCTTTATGGAGAAGATACCCGAAGAGGCCCAAGACATAGTTATTCAGGCAGGGAAAGGAGCAGTTGCGCACCCAACACTTGTTGTCATGGACAAAGGTGGATCTCAGAAATTGAGTGCTGAAGCACACACCAAGGATGACATATACAGTGGGTCTGATGCCATGGGGAAAGAGGGGGATACCCCTGGTGGCGAGGATGAAGCAAACTACAAGCTCGGGTGTACTCCTTGTGCTGGAGACGTCGCAAAGGGCCAAACATTGAGATGTGTCATCGATCCAAATAGCCAACACCCTCTTTCTTTAGTTTGGTCTCGCACAATCATGATGTCTCACCACCCCCTTATCATCAAGCCAGAGAATCAAGATTTTAAGGGAGCCGCTAGACATGATATTTTTGGGTGTCACCCATATTTCCTGCACCACGCCCCAAAGGTCAAGCCGGGTAGAGATTGGTCAACAAGTGAACATCTTCTTTTGTTCATCGCTTTCTCACCTATCCAAAAACATGAGTGGGAACCTCCACCTTGAGGACAAGGTGGTTTTCTAAGAGGGTGGGAATGATACGGATAGTTAATTATAATATTTTAATTAGTTATATTATTATTTAGTAGTTATTTATTATTATTTAGTGATGGTCTAGGGTTTAAGTATGGGCCCGAGCCCATTAGGTCAATTAGGTTATTTGCATTCTTTATATATTGTAACCCTTCGCTATTATTATGAAATCAATCAATAATCAAGAATTCTCTTCTCTGGAGTCCGGAAACGCTCGAAGTTTTCCATTTGGAGCTTGAAGACGCTCGAAGTTCTTCCTATCCGATACTCTGTTCGTATCAGTACTTCAATTAAAAAACCAAAAATCAATATTTTCAAACCATGCATGTCCATAACTTGCCAAATACCTTCAACAAATCTATCAAAAAACGACCACCTAATTGGAATGTCTAATTCAAAAAAACATATGTCTCGATAATACATGCATATTATCCATAAAACAGGTCTTTGACTAGGGCATTATGCTCAAGTAAAAATAGTCTTTAAGCCTAGACGACAGAGTATGCCAACAACTCCATTGTCATTTTCTTCATGTATTCGGCAATTTCATGATCATCCATATCCCCCACATCACACCCCATCATCAGAAATTCAGCCATCTTCACCACGAACATCCCACAACTTGACCTACGTCAATCCAAAATAAAACCAAAACATTATCAACCATGCATTGCATAATACATTATACAGCTCAAATTATATCATACCCGTCGTTTTGTTGGGGGCAGCACAATCCAGCTTCAACCGCTAGGACATCATCTCCCATTGGACCTTCCCCCCGTCCGTCATACACGCACAACTTAACCATTATCTTAGGCAGGAACATTTGGAGGCATGGCAAAAACGGCTGCAACTTCCTTTTTGAATCGTTTCTCCTGATGCTCGAGTCATATGTCCTAATTAACTTCTGCTTAATGTCCAACACCAACAATGTCCAGTGGCTCCTAGTATTCAGCGGCGGGAGATATTGCCGTAATTGCTATTAACGAAATCCTAGATCTATTCTACAATACCCACACAAATCCGCATGCAGGAGAAGTAGAGACATACATGGAAGCTCCCGCAGTGCAGCGTATCACCTACGGCGTATTTTGCGGCTTCACTTTTGCGCTTCTCTGTAAAACAGCGCATATTTTTCCTTTTGTTTTTTTCATTAAAGACTAAATTGGAGGACATACCACTCTTTTTACTCTGTGCCACGTGGACGGAAATAGGACTACTCCTATTTTCGGAAAAGGGCCCCCTCTTCTGGTCCTATCTTGCTATATATAAAAAGAAAATGAAATAACATATGTTGTTTCCCGCTCATTTTGGCCAACAATAGTCTAAAACTTTGAGTCAATCAAGCTCATCAATTATCACATCAAAAGGCCAAAGAATGGCTTGGACACGGGATAGAACAAATGGAGTAAGCTCACCTTGGAAGCTAGCAAAGGACACCCTCCTTTCTGATCTTTTCTTTTCGTTTGTTTAATTTTCTAACTTATTTATTTTTAGGTTGGTTTTTTATTCTTTATGTTTTGATCAGATTTTTTACAAATTATCTCTCACCATTTCAAATAAATTATATCATTTAAGTACCAATACACAAAAACACTTTTTAGGTTTGTCAATGAGCTAAGTGACGAATGTTTCACTGAAAAATTATTAGAGAGTACAACCTAAAAATTAAATTTATGTGTGATGAGATAAAATGAATAAATTTATCTCGATAATAAGTTATTATTGCGACATTGTATCTAAAAATTAATTAGTTGTTTTAACAACCAAAACATTAAGACACAAGGATACAAAAATAATACCCAAAAACTTGATGTTCTCTTATCAAATTCTAATTGATCTTTTATTTATTTAATAAATTATTTTTATGACAGTGTTTAATCTTTGTAAAGCTCAAATAAGGAAGTTTTTTTAGGCATGATGGGCGTAATAATAAGTTTATCGAAATATATTTTTATCGATACATGTTTTATTCTTGCAAAATGATGACGTGCAAAACCCAGTTTCTTGAAAATTAGTTTATTTACAAATTCGCATAGGAATAAAGTATACAATTTTAAAAAAATATATTAAATTGTACAAAAAAAACTATATTAAATACTCTACAAAACAAGATGTGACAAACATTATTCTTTGTATATCAAATAATCAATGAAAATACATGAACAAAAATTATCAAGAGATTATAATATTAATGTAAAGTATAAATTATTTTGGTAAACATAAAATTTAATTTTCTTTCCGTGCAACGCGCGGGTTAGAATCTAGTTTGACTAATTTACTCATAAAATTACTCTAAAAAAAATTAACAAGCCTTCCCTTCCTTTCATCAATATTCCCGATTCCGGATATTGCACTCGACTCTCCCCAAAGAGCAAAAAGCAATATCTCACTTTCTCAATCCTCAAAATCTCAAATCTTCAAGCAACTTAGCAAATAGCAGAGGACAACTTCGCAAAAATACTAGCAAGTAGGAAAGTAGCAACCTTCTGATGAAGTAGCAGGCTTCATCTTCCTCGCGTTGTGGACTGGTCGCAGCACGTACTCCTCTGTCTCTGTCCAGGCATTTTTTTGATGAATCTGTCAAGGTATTTTTTTAGGTTCTTTTATTTCAGTTCTTCTTCCATGATCCCAATGATCCTAAGGTCCAGATGTGTAATGTGACCTTCTCACACTAGTGAGCCGACATGAAGATCTTTTATTTTTTTCTCAAAAGTCCAATTCTGTAAATGAGTGTTCCATTTTAATTTTTCTTACTTCCACAACTCAACCAAATTGTATTGTGTGATAAAGTTATTTCTTAATTTGTTTTTTTGTCAAGTATACAAGATTATAAAAAAAAAATCTAACAATGGCTTTATTTTTTGCACTAATCCACAATGGCTCTATATTTATGATTGTTTAACATATTAACAATGACATTTCATGTGTTAAAATAAATAACACACAGGAAGGAGGGAGTATTTTTTTTCTTTTTGTAACATTTCATATTAACTACCCTCCGTCCGCCATATGAGCAATGCCGGTGGTACACCAACAGTGTACCCCATTTGTACACCCTCACTCTTATCAACATACATTCCTTATCCATTTTCCAATCTTCTAATCCACACTCAAAATTGAGTGGTAGGGAACCTACGGTGTACACTTGGAGTTTATTACCTTTGTTAGAGTCTTCATTAATAGTCCTCTTTGATCCAATTGTTGCACTTTTACTAAGTTTTCTCATAATTCCCAATGTTTTGAAATGAAAGTCCTCTAAGGCAAGGGAATTTGTAAAATTTGTAAGCTTCAAGGAAGGACTATGAAAAACAAAATTTTTGAATGCTCTAGAAAGAGAACTAAACACTATTTTGGTAGTACAGCTTGTGTTTGCATTGTAAAACTAGAGCAGAAAATAAGCATCTTGAACTGTCTTCATTCATAAGTGAACAATATATTATTAAAATAGCAGTCATACAAATTCTGGTTTTAACCCACACATTAGATGCCTAGGGCGATTACAGAGCCATGAAATTTGCTGTACAGAAATACAAATACAAAATTTTGAAGGTCAAGTTTACAAAAAAGCAGAAAGGCCATGAAAACAGCATTCTTTCAATATTTTCTTCTACCAACATGCATCCCCTTCCATCCAGGTAAATTTGATTTGAATCTCAAAAATTTCATTAAACAACGTGGTGTTGAGTTTATTCACTCTAGTTGACTTGGTCCGTGGTGTGTTACTTGCTTTGCAGTCCTTGCACTTTTTATACTTGAGGTGAACACCATCCATGCAATAAATATGTTTATCTTTTTTACAAACAGTGCACGGGTATAGAAAGAACTCCCAATCACCCCTTTTTCACATGTTACATTTAGGTGCTACATTAAAAAAGTATCATTAGTACTTATACATATGTAAGAGAATGAGATCTTGAAGTTGCTAAATGTCTTTAAACATCTGCTACATACCATCTTATTTATTGAAAAAATCTTGGGCTTGTTTTTTTTCTTCCTATAATTTAATGTAATTAAGTCTAATTATTGAACAACAGATTTTATATTTTTTAAAAATCATTTTAATAACAACCCATGATATTGACCTTCGTGCAATTAATACCTTTAGAGACAAAACTAATTTTATAGCAAAATGAATGATTTAATAAGCTATTCATTGTAGTTAAATATGTTTTGGAAACCTAATAGTTTTCAGAAAGAAATTTAACCTAAACAGTCTCAAAATTCAAAACCACAACTTAAACCAGCTTTAAAGGCTATTCATAAATAATAATATTCAATTTTTTTTCAAGAAATAATACTTTTATTAAATCAAAAGATGAGTACAAAGTCACGCGAGTAGGAACAGGCTCCTTACTCGTAAATAAAGAAAAACAACCAAAGATGCCAAAACAACTTGTACAACTAATAGAGCTAAGCTAGTATAGGTGTGGCACTTCAAAACGGCAGACGGACTAGTACTTAAATCATGCACTAAAACCATATAGGCCCAAAACAAATCACATCCATCTCCTTGCCCCAATGTAGGACAAAAGCTAGGATCATGTGTTCCGAACCATCTATAGTCAAGTGAACCACATCGAAGTATTGTCCATGCACCAGAGTCAAAGGCCCTGAAATAAATAAGGAGACTAAGCCACAAACGAGGCCTGCACAAAGGAAAGCAAGGCCCAAATCCAGAGATGTCCATGTATGCTGAAAGCCCAAATATTATAATGCGATACGACCAACAAAACAAAGCAAGTTCCAAGCAGTGAGCAGTCCAAGTAGTAAGCTCAAACGTCTGAACCCATGCACACCAGACGAGGCCCAATCCATGCAAGCGAGACGAAGCCCAAATCTTGCAATCCAAAATAGTCGTGTGCTGAGACCCACGTCCACGATCAGTCCACATCAGTTGACGCCAAATGTGGTTCCAACTCAAAAGAACAAAGTGAAAGATGCCAGTATAGAGCCAAACAGAAGTCCAACAACAACCAGTCCTATCCCACGCCAAATCCAAGATGCCAGACGCTAGATATAATGCGCTATACAGAATGACATCCCCAGAGATTTCCAGGCGGGGGAGTTGCCTAACAACATATTTGAAACATAAAAGCACAACTCTCCCAGTAAAGCCAGCCAAAAAGATTCAAGAAATGGGAATGGCAGTGTCCTCGACCGTCATGGCTACAGCCGAAAAGATCCAAGGAATGGGAATGGCAGTCTCCTCGACCGTCATGGCTAACCACAATGACCTCCTGCTTACCCAAACCCTGAGTTGTGAGAAGGTACTACTTTTCGTCAGTGGACAGCCCTTGAGACACCGCCGACACAAAGCAGACACCATAAACCACATATGCTAGTGCGAACGTGCCCCAAAACTGCAGGAGCCAGCAGGCACCTTTTAACTGCAGGTACATATTTCATGTGCTGTTGCTTTTCAATTCGTCCATGCTGGGATGAGATGCGATGCTTTTAATACATTCTGCACAACAATTCAAAAAAACCAAAAAACCAAAAACAAAAAAAAACCAAAAAACATTGCAGACAAAATGCTGAAAGTCTAGTTGCATAAACCAAAACACTTTCTCAAAACATTGCATCATCACTTTTTTCCACTATCACAGTTCTTAGCTTTATTTAGCACTGGATCTTGAAAACTCATCGAATAGGTGGCGCCTCACTGGGTCATCAATGAGAGAAAAAAATCAGTTCTGGAGTATATGAACAGAGTGGTTTATTGTGATATCGCTGTCCAGAATTATGTGTCCATACATATAAATAGAGGACTAACCAACACAAACATTACAAACAAACACAACAGTTGCTAACCAACACATCTGTCAAAAAACTGCCTAACTGCTCCTTTTTTTTAAACTTAAACTAACCAAATTCTGGACTGGAATTAACCAACATTCACCCCCTTGATTCCGGTCCTCATTCCTGCCAAATCTTCAATTCCCATCAGTTGTGTCATCTCGATAAACTTGACCCTCGGTAATGCTTTAGTCAAGATATCAGCTTTCTGCTTGTCAGCACTTACACGCTCAATCCTTACTAGCTCTTTCTCGACACATTCACGTATGAAATGATACCGAGTGTCAATATTCTTACTTCTCCCATGGAACACTGGATTCTTCATTAACATGATTGTAGACTTGTTATCCACGTGAATTGTTATGGGTTTCATGCTTTGACCAGTGATTTCTTCAAGCAAACCTTTTAACCAGACGGCTTGGCATGCGGTTTCTGTTGCCGCCATGAACTCAGCCTCACATGAAGATAGTGCAACCGTATTCTGTTTTTGGCGGCACCATCCTATCGGACCACCCATAATAGAAAATCATCCCAGTTGTACTCTTTCCATCTGCCCGATCAGTCGCATGTGAGTTGTCACTATAACCAACCAAATTTGCATCGCCATTTCTCGTGTATCGAATCCCATAGTTGATTGTACCCTTCACATATTGCAACACCTGTTTTACAGCTTGCATATGTGATGTTTTTGGTGACTCCATGAATCAACCAGTTATTCCAATGGCATAACTAATATCTGGCCTTGTATGGGTTAGATATCGAAGACACCCAATATTCCTTTGATACTCAGTTGCATCAACAGACTCTAGCTCCTCATATTTTCGAAGCTTGAGACTTTGATCCGTATGAAACTTTGCAGGATTACACTCCCACAAATTTGCATTTTTAGAACCTTTGTTGCATATATCCTATTTGCTTCAAAGTAATGCCAACTTTGTCCTGATTCACCTCTATTCCCAAATAATATGTTATAAGCCCCAAACCACTCATTTCAAAACAATTTTTCATATGTCATTTGAACCCGACAATCTCATCCTTGCATGGACCTGTGATGATTAGATCATCAATGTATACACCAACTAGTAATGGTCCATTCTTTGTGGTTTGCTTGTATACAACATGTTCACGTGGACAACGCTTGAAACCAAGTTGTTGTAAAGTTGCATCTAGCTTTAAATTCCATGCTCTTGGGGCTTGCTTAAGGGCATATAAAGCTTTTACTAGTTTGTACACAAGATGTTCCTTGCCCGGCTTTTTGAACCCCTCGGGTTGTGATACATATACATCCTCCTTTAAGTCTCCATGTAGGAAAGCCGTCTTCACATCAAGATGGTGAACTCCCCACCCATCTCGTGCAGCTAGGGATAGAAGCAAACGGACTGATTCCCTTCGGGCAACTGGAGCAAACACCTCATCGTACTCAATACCATGCTTTTGGACATACCCCTTTGCAACAAGTCTCGCTTTATAGCGAATTATATTATCTTTTGCATCCCTTTTGGATTTATAAACCCACTTTAGACCAATCGATTTAACTCCTTTTGGGAGTTCAACCAATTTCCAGGTTCCATTCTGTTCAATAGAGTCCAATTTGTCTTGCATTGCGGCACTCCATTCTCTGCTATCTTTGGCTTCATTAAAGGTACTTGGTTCTTCATTGGATGTTAATAGTTCTGCGTCATCAAAGTGAGGTGGATTGAAAGCCTTCTCTTGTATCGATTGAGTTCTTGAATACACATCATTTAGCAGGAGAAATCCTCGAGGGGGTGTATCTTTATCATCATATGTGAACTTAAAATCGGACTCGCACCTGATGTACTAAGATTTTCAAACTCATGCGGGCTGTTTGGAACACTTAGTGGGCTGATAAGAGTGCTTGAAACCGAGGCAATCGACTTTGGGGTAGACAACGAACAAATCTCCGGTGGGCTAACAGATTCACACCCATTCTGTAGTATTGGAGCAACCAGGTCTTCGGATTGATTGGGCGAGGTATTGAGTGGGCTGCCACCATTTTGAGCCAATCCTTGACCAGTCACACAAGCTTCATTTTCAACAACAAATTTAACCTGCCTTTCATTTCCCTCCGTATCCAAACCTTTAGCCCAGTCCCACGATTTGTTTTCTTCAAATTGGACATCCCTGCTAACACATAGCCCTTTTGTCTTTGGGTTGTAAAGCCGGTATGCTTTGCTTCTTGGTTCACTCCCGAGATGTACCATTAACTTGCTCGTGTCTGCCAACTTTGTTAATTTGGGTGTTGGTACTTTGACATGGGCCATACATCCAAACACCTTTAGGTGTTCCAAATTGGGCTTCCGTCCTTTCAGGGCTTCATATGGGGTTTTCTTTTCCAAAGCTTTTATCGGAGTTCGGTTCAAGATGTAGACAGCGTGTCGTACGCCTTCTCCCCACAATCATTGGGGTAAATTCATGGCCTTCAACATAGATCTTGTGGTTCCAAGAATAGTTTGGTTTCGGCGTTCAACCACACCATTCTGTTGTGGCGTAGATGGTGCTGTTAACTACCTATTTATACCTTCTTCATTGCAAAGTTGTTCAAAGTTGGTAGGATAATCGGATCAGTGAGCCCATCAAGTTGATTCCAGAAATCATCTTTGGCTTGAATAGTGTCGTGCTTTGCTAGGATAATCGGATCAGTGATCATCTGCAAAACACCAAATGTACGTTGTCCCCTCCATGAGGGAGATCCTAATGGTTGTGGTAAAAACATCTTGAATAATCCCTGCTTGCCAACAATAGTACCCAAATCTCCATGGTATTCACTTGGGTCATTCCCTCTCTGAAAAAAAGTCTAAAGGTTCGTATTTGTATGTGTGTTACAATTCTTGATGTAATTGAATATTGACAAATGGTTGGGAGATGACCCGAATGAGATCCTCCCGAAGCATGTCGCTGATTTACTGATCAGGTTGGAGCATTTCCGGTCCCAATGTCCCCCAGAATAAAGGATGCATGCTCACTGTCATCAATAAGTCTGCAATTGACCTTGTACCTGACCAGTTCATTAACGCTTGATTATCTTATGCCCAAAAATGATACGCTTACATGTTACTGTCAAAATAATGTAACATACCTGTAGACTCCATGAGGAAGACTACTGAAGAGGTTCTGGGCATTTACTGCATTTGAAGCGAGTGCTGTCTGGAATCACCTTTCGGTTACAACTCGTGCATTCAAGATAAGACCAATCTCGGTAGTTAGCCAAACCTCCAATGTCCGCCATGATCCAATAGTCTCCCTCCTATGCGATGTAAGCAATTAGGGCATTTATTTGAAAAACCTCCAAGTAATATGATGAGAATATACAGACGTGTGTTTAGAGCCCTTAATAATGTACCACCTTAGTTTCTTCTAGAAAGCTTTTAATTCTTTTAATGTTCTCTATCACATCACTCACATCTTCACAGCAAGTAAGGACCAAACTATTTAAAGTAGCAGTTTCTTCTCCTTCTCCTCTTAAGGTGTGCAAATGTTTAGACAACTCATGAATGAATAGCTGCTGTGTTTCAATACGACGCAATGGTATTGGTATATCGTAGACAAAACATACTTTGCCCTGAAGTCCACAACCTCGTCAGAGTTTCCGTCCAAAATCATCTTGGTCACATGGAAAGAAGTTGAAACTGAGACTTGTCCTACATATCCGTGACAAAGTTTAGTGTAGTGCTTTATTTAAATCGTTCATAATTACAATTCATGAATGAAGTAAGAGACAAACCTCTGTAACAATTAGGGCGATAGAATTTTAAGACAATTATGACTGGATCAGGTAAATCTTGGCTCATATAGTCATTGAACTGGTCAACGTATTTGCCCCATAACATGCACCTGATATGGTTGTTTCTGTGAATCAGGCAGCCCCAGTTTTTAGTAGTGTACATATACTCGTAGGTGTAGTGCACTATTACTAATGTAGGTTTATACTCACGGGAGATCCTCCAAGGTCAACTCCATCAATTTCTTGGAACTCCTGGCTACAATTTGTGGTTGAACTTTGGAGTGACCAATTATTTTTCCCCTAACATCTGCAAGAAAGAATAAATGCATAAGAGGTGAGGATTTTAAATTACAAAGTAACACATATTAAAACAGTTTGATATACCACAATGTTGAAGAGTTTATTTTGTAAAGAACTTATCAATGAGTAGTTTTTCATTCAAACATGGCTGGTCCTGTAGCTTCTCATAGGATATGAAATTGTGCATGAACGATGGGAAGTGATCATCGTTCATTGCTTTAACCTTATGTACCGTGATGTTCCAGACAGCGTAAAGACCTCCCTCTGTAATTAAGGTCTCAAAGGCCCTAATTTGTGGGTTTTGTATGCATGAATCTTAGTGCCCTATAAAACATTCAAACTTGCACATTTTAGATGTTATGTAACTGAATCGGTGCATCTGGAACTGCAAATAAGTATTGCTTACTGTAATGAAAATGTTAGATATATTAGGGTAAATGTGAGGGACCCTAACCTCTTTATCGTGAAACACAACCTCCATTGTGTCACCAAACCTCACATGGGCAGCGACATGGTATACTCTAATCGAACGAACTTGAATCATTCAGGTGGTATGTGAGTTGCCCAGGTCTTTCAACATTGTCCACATGCTCGCATTCATCTGAGTTGATCCATTTTTTTGTTTATGCAGATCCAAGAAAAGGTGTGTTGCAATGGGTGCTATGTACTGAATCCAGTAAGGTGGAGTAATCTATTTATAGAGAAGATAATGTGGGGATGGAGGTTTGGCTCGGGAACCCAGAGATTTCCAAATCTCCAGTGGTGCAAACCGTGCAATGGCCAAGACAATTTTCCTCTTTTAATATGCTGCATGCAAAAATAAAGTTACATCTTTTAATGTGCCAAGGTAGCAAAAGCTGGTTATTTAAGTGGTTGGATGCAACCCCTAGCCGCCCAACTCTACTGTTCACAAGTTTCACCTTTTAATTGGACGGGAACACTGTTCCTCCATATCTTTTGCCTTTGTATATATAAAGATAAAGATAAAGATAAAAATAAAGATAAAGATGTGAAGATAATTCGGGATAGATGGTAAAAGAAAATGAGAAGCTTTTAAGTACTTAGTCCTATTTATTTTTTATTATTTTTTTGGTGCCAGGGATATGCCATTAGTTGGTTAAAATGCACTTTGTCACTTTGTGTTTGTATTTTATGAGAGTAATTCAAAAATGTTGGATTTTAAGTTGAAAAAGCTCGCCTTTTATGTTTATATTGTATAAAATTAATTTACGTGTACATTTTATGACTACCACAGGTTTATGGATCAGAGTTACAGAAAAGTGAGCCTGTAAAACTCATCCCGATAAGTTATATCAGAACAGTGCGACATAAAATTATATCCTAGTTATAATTTCTAATCCCCATTTGGACATCAAGCATCTAAACCAATCTGCTTCCAAGTGAGTTCATAGTGGCACTACATCCCTAGACCTCAAGCTAGGAGGAGGAGACACAGTATGAAGACAAAGAAGCCATTGTCAGCACTCAAACTCTCCGTCCCTTCTCAGGAAACCAACATTTCCAACTTCCTGTAAGTCTCTTCTTTACTTCTGTACTAACATTTACATGTTCAATTTCAATAGAAGCATTTATTGAAAAAAATTTGAATCAATTCTTGCACTGTAGGACTGCCAGTGGGACATTTCATGATGGAGACTTGCTGTTGAATCAGAAAGGGCTGAGATTGGTTTCCCTGGAGAATGAATCTCTGGCAAGTTCCATCCCTATATCCGTAAAAAACTAGTCACTTTTAAGTTTTAAGTTCATGACTTCTATGTTGATCTCCTTCAGCATCTTGTCTTTTGAATATTGTAGGGAGATTTGTTCAAATAATTCTATTTTCTCACCATCTAACCTATGCACTTCTAAACTTGTACATGTAATAGTATGAGTCTTGAATTCAGTAAAAGATATATTAGATGAAAAACGAATCAATACTTCAAGTTACTATGGGCATTTAGCTAATTTTAAAAGAGTAGCTAGGCTGAGGGTTTTAGGGGATAATGTTTCACCTGTGTAAGGGTAAGGTATGTTTACACCCACTCTCCCTATATCCCACTTGGTTTGATTTTACTGGGTTTATTATTATTGTTGTCAATGTTCAAGCTGCTTTCGTTCCATCATTTTTATTGGTTGTTGCATATTTTCATTGGATGTTAGTTTTACTCCCATGCACTTTTAACTTTTTCTGTCTTTTGAAACAAAGTAGATTGACCTTCAATTCTCATTGGAAGATCTTGAGACAATCAAAGTTATAGGAAAAGGAAGTGGGGGTGTAGTTCAACTTGTTCGCCATAAATGGGTTGGCACTTTGTTTGCTTTGAAGGTCAGTATTAGCTTCACTAGTAATGTGCACAAGTTTCCCTATTTGTTTAATGAGTTCACTCACCATTTGAAACATCAAGTTTCCCTATTAGAATTTGTTAGGCTTTCTTGATTTTGTGTTCTTTAGTCATGCTTATTTGACGAATACACTGGGACGGAGGAATTAGTTGACTCTGTAAAATGTCAGTTTTGATTCTTGAAACTGTGATTCATATATTTAGTGCCTGTTTGGGATGCTTTTATATCCTGCTTAATGTCCTTATGGATAGTCAAAGGTTTCACCAAACACTAACATATTTAACTGCACTAAGCTGGCCGGGTATGAAAATAAGTGAGGTCGTTTTTGTCTTGGTTCAATCAACTTTAGACTTGTCAAACAAGCTCTATGTAAACCTTCCTGCCATTTCAGATATATTGCAAATTGTTTTTTTTGTTTGTTTGTCTAAATGTTGGGTCTTTGTATCTTTATATATCGTCTTACAGGTGTTAGTTTCTATGTGCGGGTTTTAAAATTACGTGTGGTTTATTCTAAAAGAGTTACTCTTCTTTCTCTCTTTTTCCATTGTACAGGTTATTCAAATGAATATACAAGAGGAAATACGTAAACAAATCGTTCAAGAACTAAAAATAAACAAAGCATCACAATGTCCACACGTGGTAGTCTGCTATCAGTCTTTCTATCACAATGGAGCAATTTCTCTAGTGTTTGAATACATGGATCGCGGATCACTAGCAGATGTAATAAGACAAGTCGAGACAATTCTTGAACCATATCTTGCAGTTGTTTGCAAGCAGGTTTTAACACTAACTTAATGATTTTATTTTTAAACACAAATTTTGCAATTTTACGATGAATTTTCAACTTAGCACATGTATTCTAGGTCTTGCAAGGTCTTGTCTACCTGCATCAAGAGAGACATGTGATTCACCGAGACATCAAACCATCAAACCTGCTAGTAAACCACAAGGGAGAAGTGAAAATTACAGATTTTGGTGTGAGTGCAATGCTCGCCAGCTCTATGGGTCAAAGAGACACATTTGTTGGAACGTACAATTATATGGCGGTGAGTAAAGTAAATCATCATTAGCTCAATTAATAGACCACAAGCTTCATTGTCTATACGTTGCGGTGTTCATGTTCTCTATGTTCTTTTGGCCATTGTATGTGTCATCTATGGTTGCTTATATCTTCCTTCAAACGTACTGGTGCTTAAATTCTAATACAGATAATTGAAAAATTTGCACAAATTAATCTCATGCTTGGCCAATATGTGTAAAATAATTCGACCTTTCACGTTTGCTCGGAATAATCCCACTTTCCAATTTTTCTGCATATATTTGTTTAGACCTTTATTTATGCTACACAAATCATGCATTCCATCACAAAACTCCTGGCAACCTCTATTTATACCAATCCAAACCTCTATCTCAACTCGGGACCAACGTGCACAACGAAGTTGAAAGTTGGATTATTCTATTCAAATTTAAAAAGTGAGATTATTTTGTACAAATTGGGCAAGGTAAGATTATTTCGTTGCAAATTTTCCAACATATTTATATAAAGTGACACACTTACACATCTTGAACTTTCTTCAAGCCCGAAAGAATTAGTGGAAACACCTATGACTATAAGAGTGACATATGGAGTTTGGGCATGGTGATTCTGGAGTGTGCTATTGGACGATTCCCTTACATACAGTCTGAAGATAAGCAGGAATGGCCCAGCTTTTATGAACTTTTGCAATCAATTGTTGGAAGTCCACCACCTTCTGCTCCGCCTGATCAGTTTTCCCCAGAATTCTGCTCATTTGTCTCTGCTTGGTAAGATATAAATATTAACATTGATTTTTACATACAAGAAAGACTTTGTTAAACAAACTCCACACGATCACCATCTTCATTACCTTTGTTAAACAAACTCCACTTTGACAAGGCTAATCCTAACTATGTTCGGATCTCTGGCATGAAACTTATTGTGTCAATTAATTTTTCTAAAATTGATTAACACTTAAAATTCATGCAAAAATCATAACGGCAAAATCTTATGCTGGATGTCCCTTTTGCCGCAACCTTCCAAAAAAAATAATCTGAGAAAACATTTAAAAGCGATCATTATAGAGTTTTCCACTCATGTAGAAAAAGATATCATGTGATGATGAGTTGGTATACTTTGTTTAAAAAGTCATGTTTGGTCGAAGGACATCTTTTTAAATTTTGGCAAGGCACTACAGTGAAAAATCATATATACTCCGTGTATCTTTTGTTAAAATTTATTTTTTACTCAACTAAACATATTGTACAGAATATGTTTGTACTACGTAGACATTTTCGACAAATTATTGGAAGAATACATATAAGTTAGCTTTTTACTTTTAGAACACTATTTTGGATGGAGGGTGTAATCGTTCAATTTTCTTTGCAAATTTGATATTGTAAAATCAACATGCGCATTATAGACCATGATCAAATACTCCACATCATCATACTTTTTCAATTTTCCTTTTCCCCTATGGTTACAAAAGGAATTAAGTTTCTTAAACTATTTTCTTATTTGGTTGTGCTGGATTGTTCAATGCTCAGCATACAGAAGGACCCAAGAGACAGATCTTCAGCTTCCGACCTCTTGGTCAGTATATTCTGTTACTAATTCAGTTCGTTTCTTGCCCGCTTACTCTTTCCTCCTTTTTAGTTCTTACCAGCCGATTCTTTTTTACACACCCAGACTCACGGTTTCATCAAGAAGTTTGAAGACATGGACATCCTAGAGTCGTAGAACCAACCATCGGAGCTTGGAGGACGTTTAAAGTGTACGACTAACACAAACACGTCAACAAAAATAAGTATATATATTAGGGGGGGGGGTTGTAGGTAATAACAGCTAGTCATTATCCTTGACCGTTGCAGTCAGTGACTGTGCTTTGTGTTGTATTTTTCATAAATTATGTTTCCTTGTTTTTTTTTTGAACTTATTTTTTAATGCATAGAAGTTACAAAAACTAGGTCTGTCACAAGCATCTTCTAACCTATCTTTGATTTGATATTTGAGGCGTGTTTAAGTTGTGTTTATGATCTAGAGTATGGAATTTCTAGTGTATGTTTGGCATGTCATTAAATCTCGATTGTAGATGAAGTATTATAATTCATTTACGATTTGAGAAAAAAAAAACTTTGTTTAATAGATGAAAAAAGGAAAAATATAACGTATAAAAAACTAGCTTTTCGTTTCAATTCGATCTACCAGGGTATTTCATAATCATTTATCACATACAATTTCATCCTTCATCTAGCATCTCACCATTCATTTAGATTATCAACTTATTGCCCAAACAGTCCCTATAGGAGTTTATGTTGGAAAATCGGAAGGGGTGATAACGTTACATAGTAGCATTATAAAGAACAGTATAAGAACAAATGTGAAAAAACTTGATATACTAATTGAATCACTTGATTGCTTTCAGATTAAAGTTATTTTCAATTATACTAAAATACTTTAATCAGGTAAAATTTTACTCCCTCCGTTCCAAATTAAATTGTTTATTATTCATAAATTCAAATTTCATTCACTTTTATTCTTTTTTTGGTAGTCATTTAATAAAATAAAAGTCATGTCACAACTAGTTTTGTAGATCTTTGGATGTAGTAATTTGACATGTAATTTTTATTTTTTAATTCTACATCATTTTTCATATAAAATGATTTAAAAATAATTTTAGCCTAACATCGAAAACCGAAACAGGTAATATAAATTGGGTCGGAGGGAGCACTATCTAGGACGAGTAAAGAAAATCAGAAAATCTTCCTCAAACATACCTTGGGGTTCCATATATCTAGAGCACAAACTCTCAAACATTATGCAATACATTTCAATGATTTGGCAATACATACGAATGTATGCAACTATTATTGTAAAAACAATTGTGTTTTAGCAATTTTCTACGAGAATCTTCACGTTTCATTGTGAAACATTTGAATGTTTAAGATTAAAGATTTGAATGTATATCATCTTTTTCAAAGGGTGCTGGATGGAGTTAACATTAACATTCAAATGTGTGATTTCATGCATTTGAATGTTTCTTATTTTGACTCCATGTACAATCTAAAGGATTTTCATTATACAACGATGTCTAAAATAAAAAACCTGTGAGTAGGGGTGGGTGTGAAATCCATTCCCGTTGGACCGTTCCAAAAAAATCCTGGATCTGTTTTGTAATTGTACCGATTAATTGGGACACATTTATTTTATCCTGAACCCGTACCGTCCCAATATCAAATGGGACATGAGCGGGACAGCTTAAATTTAAATCGATCCGTCCCGTTTGTCCCGTTTCATTTACTCTACCAATATATAATACTAATTTTAGTCCAAAATCCAAATATACTTATTCTTTAATTAATTAATTAATTAATTAATTAAGTTAACTTCATAGGCTTGAAAAACTATTACCAGTGGAATAACAAAATAATTCTTTTAAAAAAGAAACTATTAACATGAAGACATGAATACTGGCTACTAACCATCACCTTCAAGCATGACTTGTAAAAGATATTCTTGAACTAATCCATTTTACAGAATCCTAAATGTAAATCATATTACTTAACTTGATATTTATAGCAGCATAAAGAGCAAAAATTGGGTCAAAGAGTTGATAACCAACAGAAGGCAGTAAAGATGTGCAAGACTATAACTAGACTTGGCAAAACTGACCCGAACCCGATAACTTGAACCGAATAACCCGGAACCGAACCCGATTTGACCCGAAAACTAAAGAACCGAAATAAACCCGAACACCTGAAATGATCCGAACCGAACCGAACCGAACCCGAACCGAATGTAATCAGACCCGATTCAGATCCGAATCCGATTTAACCCGAACCGATTAAACCCGAATCGATAAAACCCGAACCCGGTTAAACCTGGAACCGATTAGACCTGAAATTGATTAAATTTTATGTGCGTCCTGTTAATTAAAATAACTTCGGAGTATATCATAAATTGATTAAATTTATTATGTGATATTACTGATTTATTAGTATTTAAAATATATATGAACTAATATAAACCTAAATCGATACAAACCCGAATCGATATAAACTCGAACCGATACAAACCCGAATCGATATAAACCTGATCCGATACAAATCCGAACCGATACAAACCTGAACCGAAACCGAACCAAAACTGAAAACCAGTCAAACCGAAATAAACCCGGAACCGAACTGACCCGAACCGTCCCGAACCGATTATAACATATATCCGAATGAGACCGGAACCAAAAAGACCCGAACCAGAACCGAACCGATTGACCCGATTGCGATGTCTAAGTCTATAACATTATACTCCCTCCATCCCACTAAATTTGGGACAAGCGAAGGTGGCATACAAATTTAAGAAATATGGACGGCTAGATGTTTCTTTTTTTTTTTTGAATAAAATGTCACCCTCTCCCGCTTCTTATATTTGCGATTAGGACAAAGTAAGACGACCCGAATTCATCTCGATTTATTCCGATCCCGAATTTTATAGGACAAACCAGAATAAGATTGTAATCCAAACCGACCGTTTATATATAACGAGACGTACGTATAATACGCTTATTATACTTGCCTATACACCTATACGTAAAAATTTATAAAATATACCCTAAAATAAGAGGATTTTAAGAAGAAAATTACGCACGGGTGACGCGAGTTTTGTTGAAATAACTCTCAGGTCCATCTATTTTCAAGAAAACAGCAGAGGTTCCTACATTTTGTTGTAATGACTGAAAGGGAACATTTCATCCAATATTTCATCGATAAACATTAATAAATGTATTTTTTCCTATTCTTTTCTAAATGTTTTAAGGTAATAAATCTTAGGTCGCTCCTTTTTTTTATTTCTTTGTTTTTCTTTCATTTTGTTACTATTTTTTAAAGTGTTATTTTAGAATTTTTTTCTATAAAATCGTATAAAAATTCAAAATTGTTTGTATTATATTAAAACAAATGAAATAAAAAAAAATTAAAAAAAGAAAAAACAAGGTAATGACAAAATAAGAAAAAACGATATTGGAAAAATAGGAAAAAAATACATTTATTAACACTTACGGATGATGTATTGGATGAAATGTCTCATCCCAGTCATTACAACAAAATATAAGGACCTCAGCTGTCTTTTTGAAAATAGAGGGATCTGAAAGTTATTTAGACAAAACAGTCAACCGCTATGTGTACCGCTATGTGTAGCCACTTTAAGCCTCCACTTATTATACACGTCGTTTTTTCCGATTTTCTGCTCTATCGATCATTAGGTCTATCTCCTCTCCCATTCCTCGCCGGCTCGTCCCTTCTCTAGTCTCGGATTCCTCGCCGGGTCGTCCCTTCTCTAGTCTCGGATTCCTCGTCGGCTCGTCCCTTCTCTAGTCTCGGATTCCTCGTCGGCTCGTCCCCTCTCTCTATCGATTGCAGGAGTTCCGGCAAACAGGAGCCACCGCTGCAATTCCCGAATTCTAGACGGCAGTGCCTCTACGCCACACTGCCACAGTAGCGATTCCCGACGGCGGTCCCTCTGCCGTAGCCTGTAAGTCCCAATTCCCAAACCTAATTTCATAATTTTTATCATTTAATTTCTTTTTTGATTTGAGTATGAAGTTTCAATTCTCAACTCTCGATTGTATAGTTTCAAACTGCATTCTCCACTCAGCTTTTGGATGATTTCATAGTTCAAAATTCAAACTTAAATCCATGTTTCCTGTAAGCAATTGGATTTCCAACCGTGCTTAAGCAATTTCTTCTTCGATTAGAGTATGAAATCATCCAACATAATTGGGTTTTATATTAGATTTATATTGGATTTTTATCATCTTTGCCATTTTGATCATTTCTTATCTCCACTTTATTTGGTCCATGTTTTCTATAAAACTAGAAGCAGCACAAAAAACCCAAAATAAACCAAACTCTGTTGGATTTTGATTCATAACTTTATGATTAAGTGGTCAATTGGTCATTGCTCATTGCTTGAGTGCATAGCTAATTTGGTTTATTTTTGTAGAGTCATGGTTAGAAAGAAGGATCCACTTTGGGTACATGCTATTGATATGAATGGTAAATTTGAATGCAAGTACTGTAAACGAGTATTTTTTGGAGGTTTAACAAGATTGAAGTTTCATTTGTTTGGATTAAAAGGTGCTGAATTTGGTATTTTAGAATAATTTTGTAGCAAGTGGAAGACTTTATACTTTATGGTATGGATGATGCTGGACTATTTTTCATTTCGAACATTTGCTCGATTAAGACTTTATTTTTTTAGCATGGAAATTGTATGAACGTGCTTTACTTTTTTGGATTTATTTCAATTTAAAGCAAGATTGTTGTTTTTTATTCACTTTATTATCTTTTCTGTGAATAAATATGTGCATATTATAAGACGTATTTTATATTTAGGAAACGTTTAATACACGTACGTATGCGTATACGTATTTTGTACATTTGAAACATATAATAAGACGTATTTTATAAATTTTTAACTTATTAGACCCGTACGTATGTATTTCCGTATTATACTTTTGCCGTATATAACTAACTATGCGTGGGACAACCTAAAATATGGACCGTCCCAATCCGTGCCCACCCCTACCTGTGAGGGACTATGCCTTTTGGACCTCGCTACAAATTTGTAATATCATTGAATGAGCCTGCATTCTGTATCACCCAATTAGTTGTAACAGGGCCGGCCCAATAAGGGGACAAACAGTCTACCCAGACCGGGCCCATGAATTTAAGGGGCCCAATTTTTTTTAAATATTTTATACTCTGTATATGTATATAAGAAGCCCATAGCCCAATATGCCAAGGCCCTTCTCTTTAGTCACCATCCTTCTTATCCGTACACAAAATAACGCAGGTAGAGAGGCCGACTGAATAAAATCACCAAATCAAAAAACTGCCGGTAGAGAGACGCCGCCGCCGCCAGAGTCCACACGCCGCCGGGAGCCGACCCTTCAGCTCCAGGTATTTCGTATTCATAGCTTTCCGATTTTGTAATTTTTTTCTTTCATTTTTTCACTATTGTGATTTAAAATTTAGGGTTAATTATAGAATTTTAATAAGAAATCTTTGCTAATTACCATGAAATAAGATGAATTAATTGTTCTATATGTTCTTTATTTGATTTGGATGAATTGATTTGAATTTATGATATATTTAATTTTATTTATAAAAAACTGAAAACTAAAAAAAAATTAAAAACTAAAAAATTGATATGAATTTATGATATATAAAAAATTAAAACTGAAAAAAAAAATATAAAAATTGATGAAATGATATGAATTTATGAAAATTAATTAAAAATAAAATAGGTTGCAAGGGAGAGTCAAGAGTGTATAGATTTGTAAGTAAGCTTTGTTGGGAATTAGAGGAATTTGGTCCAAATCAAAATCCATTTTTTGGATTCCCAAACATAATATTTGAGTAAAATCTTGATTTGAAATCTGAATCTATGTTCCCAACCATAAAAAAATTAAAATTAAAACAGTCAACTCCATTTCACATTTGTAGCAAAAACAAAATCAAAATAGGCAGAAAATTAACAACTTCATAGATATTGACAAATCCATTCCAACTTTGATAACAACATAGCATAGTAGCAAAAATAAATATATAAAAAAAGGATAGAGTAAAGGAAACATATACCCTTAGGGAGGAAGCCGCGAAAGAACTGCGGTGGTCACACACAGGGACGCAGCTCCCAAGGGACGGAGGTCACAGACTGTAGGAGGACTTTGTGGAACGCAATCTCGGATCTCCACTCGAGGAGCGGCGTCGTGGAGGCTCCGGCGAGGCAGAGAGGTTCGCGTGAAGATGGATACCCCGGGAGCTATTGCATAATGATGGCGAAGGGATTTTTAATCGGTAGATGTCGAGGAAGAAACGTGGTTGTGATACAGGGGTCAGCAATTCAAGCACGATAACGGCGTTGTTTATAGAAATGCCTAGCTACTTGCCCTTGGATGGTGTTTGGTCTTGTCTAAAATTCACATATTACTCCCTAAATTTTACTCTCTCCCTCTCTCATTACTTTAGGGGGTTCACCCGATGTTTTCCACTTCAATCTATTGGAATAAATTATCATCGAATTTAATCTAGCTTGATCTGATCTAATTTGTATGTAGTTATATTTAAAGGTATTTCTAATCTCATCTGATTTCATCTGATTCCAATAAAAAAAGTAATAAATAAAAAAAAAAAGTTGAGGAGAACATGGCGTCAACAATGAATTTTAAGAATTTTTTTGTATTTTGAAAGTCTATGGATATTCAATTGGGATTTAGAAAAATCCTAGTGTATTAAATTTCGATTTAGACTAGTCCTTTAAAATCTAGGAGTATTAAATATTTCATAGATTATCAAAGATTTTTGTTAGTCATGAGTTTTAATGGATTATAACCTTTTAATATAAATAGAAATTTATCTTCAAATCTCTCCAAAATTCCAAAGATTTTCATGAATTCTCAGTTGTTCATTTGTTTTCTTCGCATGTCTATGCGACCAACCAATGGAGTGCTGAAATACGGTTGGACAAGAACTAAGCAATTGCCTCGAATGTCAGGAACTTGCAAAAACCAGATAGTTATCCTACATCAAACCCTAGCCAGCACCAACTTGCAGAAGGAAACTACCTCCCTGCACCGAATTCTCAACCCCCCTTAGTTGAAATTGATATACCACGTACGTACGTAGGTATGTATGTATGTATGTATGTATGTATGTATGTATGTATGTATGTATGTATGTAGTATGTATGTATGTATGTATGTATGTATGTATGTATGTATGTATGTATGTACGTACGTACGTACGTACGTTATGTATGTATGTATGTACGTACGTACGTACGTACGTTATGTATGTACGTACGTACGTACGTACGTACGTACGTATGTACGTATTTATGTATGTATGTATGAATGAACAGTGAAAAAAATATGACTTGAAACAAAGAGTTAACAAATTGGAGACGTTTGGAGCACAAACCGATGCCATTACATGTGCTAGAACACAGATCTCCCTATCAATTTCAACTAAGGGGGGTTGAGAATGCGGTGAAGGGAGGCAGTTTCCTTCTGCAAGTTGGTGCTGGATAACGATGTGGTTTTTGCAAGTTCCTGATTTTCGAGGTAATTGCTTAGTTCTTGTCCAACCGTAGGAGCACTCCATTGGTTGGTCGCATAGACATGCGAAGAAGATAAATGAACAATTGAGAATTCATGAAAATCTTTGGAATTTTGGAGAGATTTGAAGATGAATTTCTATTTATATTAAAGGGTTAGAATCCATTAAAACCCATGACTAACAAAAATATTTAATAATCTATGAAATATTTAATACTCCTAGATTTAAAGGACTTTTCTAAATCAAAATTAAATACATCAGGATTTTTCTAAATCCCAATTGAATATCCATAGACTTTCAAAATACATAAAAATTCTTTAAATTCAATGTTGACACTATGTTCTCCTTAGCTTATTTTTTTACTTATTACTTATTCTTATTGGAATCAGATTAGAAATACATTTAAATATAATTACATACAACTTAGATCAGATCAAGCCAGTTACAAATTAGATCATAATTTATTTCAATCAGATGAAGAACGTCGCGTGAACCCTTTAAAGGAATGAGAGAGGGAAGGAGTAATATTTAGGTAGTAATATGTGAATTTTAGACAAGATCAAACACCATCGATGGCAAGTAGCAAGGCATTTCTACGAACAACGCCCTTACCGTGCCGGTATTGCCGACCCCCGCATCACAACCTAGTTTCTTCCTTGACATCTACCGATTAAAAATCCCTTCGCCATCATCACACAATAGCTCCTGGCTTATCAATCTTCAGGCGAACCTCTCCGCCTCGCTGGAGCCTCCACGACGCCGCTCCTCGAGTGGAGATCGCTTTACAGTCTGACCTCCGTCCCTTGGGCAGCTGCTTCGCCCTTGTGTCTGACCACCGCAGTTCCTTCGCCCTTGTGTCTGAATATTTGTTTTTGTTACTATGCTATGTTGTTATCAAAGTTGGAATGGAGTTGTCAATATCTATGAAGTTGTTAATTTTCTGCCTGTTTTGTTTTTGCTACAAATGTGGAATGGAGTTGACCGTTTTGATTTTGATTTTTTTTTATGGTTGGGAACATAGATTCAGATTTCAAATCCAGATTTTACTCAAATTTTATGTTTGGGAATCCAAAAAAAGGGATTTTGATTTGGACCAAATTCCTCTAATTCCCAACAAAGTTTACTTACAAATCCATACACTCTTGACTCTTCCTTGCAATTTGAAATCCAAAAATTCATATTTTAAATTGAAATCTATGAATTCAAAAGAAATCTACGTTTCTAAACAGTAAACACTACCTGTATTTGTTTAGTTGCTGTTCAAATGCCGTACAGTGCTCCCTCTATTCCCAAATTAAATTCATAGTTTGACTACACCAAATTTAAGAAAAATGTTAAAAGTAAAAAATGTGTAGTGCGTATTTGGAAGAGAGAAATATTATAAAATTATTCTTTTCTTAAGAGGAAAGGGGAGATGTGTGAACTTAATTTTTTGACGGATGAAAAAAGAAATTATGAATTTAATTTGGGACGGAGGGAGCATATTAGAAGTTCAATTCAATGGAGTACAAACTAAAAAATCCCGTGTTGAATTTTTTGAGTAAGTTAATTAAGTATATCTATATATGTATATATACTGCTTTACATATTTGATTATAGAAATTGACAATGAAAGTTTGAAATTATATATTACGGAGTACCTGTTGTTTTACAAGTGGAACCGAAATAGCATCAGACACTGGCTATGGGAGTGCTGCCCCTTGTTCCCCATAGATATTAACAATTTTTGGCCACAGCTGAATTCTATTTAGGCATCTGCCACTGATCTTTTTTTATTTTTTTGCACTTATTCTAGTTAAACTGTTAAAGTTTGCAATAATGAACTATTTGTACAGGAATGACTGTGGAAGATGATGTGGTGGGTACTCTTGCAAAATCAGAACTGCCTACGAAATCTATGAAATCAAAGAAGAAGATCAATGAGAAGGTAGCTGCCAATCCTCTTCATGTGTTGAAGGATGTGAGAGTTGAGGGAGGAAAAAGCTCTGAGAAAGGAAATTTGGGCGGCGTTGAAAGGAGGATGAGAACTACTCGAGATGACACATGGAATTCCAGTGATACTAATGGGGTATCTTGTAAGAAAACAGAAAAGAAGAAAAGGAAGAGAGAAGTAGAAACTAATGTATCTACGATGCATGAAAACAACAGGAAAGATGAACAGAATGAAGGAACAAGGACTGATGACTGCACAGAGGGTAAATCGGAAAAGGTCAAAAAGAAAAGGAGAAAGAAGGAAAAGAGGGTGGATAACATGGGATTGGAAGAAAAGAGAGGAGTTGGAAATGATGACTCACATGCTGTGTCCCAAGATACTAATGCTGCAAAGGATGATCTTTCTGTTGTTGACAAGGAAGGTAGATCGGGAAAGTTCCAAAAGAAAAAGAGAAAGAAAGAAAAGATGGGGGATGGCCTGGGTTCAGAAGAAAATAGTGGAGTTGAAAATAATGAGTATGGATTGCAGGCTGTGTCTCAAGATAAAGATACTGCAAAGGATGATCTTTCTGTTATTGACAAGGGAGGTAGACCGGGAAAGTTCCAAAAGAAAAAGAGAAAGAAAGAAAAGATGGGAGATGGCCTGGGTTCAGAAGAAAATAATGAGTATGGATCGCAGGCTGTGTCCCAAGATAAAGATACTGCAAAGGATGATCTTTCTACAGAGAAGGGAGGCCACATTCCCTCAATTGCAACTGAGATAGCTGAAAATAAAAGAAAATGTGACCGGAAACAAGGAACAATAACTGGTGGCAATGCGGAGAAGGTCAAGAGGAAGAAGAAAAGGAACAAGAAAGAGATGAGGGAAGATGACGTGGGATCAGTAGGAGATGGGGCTATACCTTTTACAAGTGTAGATGGAAAACCGGCTAGTGGGGTGCAAGATGATAGTAGTAATGGCAAAAAGGCAAACAACAATAGGTCCAATGGCAAAACACCAAAAAGTAGCAAGAAGAAAGTGAGTTTCTCCAGCGAGGTGGAGGTTTTTCCTGTGTCGAATGCTTCTGAGAGTGGGGAACATCGAAGTGAAGATGGTGTTGTTCGAGGTAAGAGGTTCTCGAAGGATGAAGATGCAAAAATAAAAGAAGCTGTTTATGACTACATTGAAATGCATGATTTGGGTGAGGATGGTTTGGATATGGTGTTAAATAGTAAAAAACATCCTGAACTGAGACACTGTTGGAAGGAAATAGGGGCTGCCATACCTTACCGCCCTTACACTGCAATCTATTATCGTGCTCAAACCCTGTTTCGAAGTGATGAAAACCATAAATGGACCGAAGAGGAGAAGGAACTGATACTGAAACACCAGAAAACACATGGGAATCAGTGGAAAGAGCTTGCTGAAGAACTTGGCAGACACAGGTTTCACGTGAAGGACACATGGCGCAGGATCCATTTGCCTAACTTGAAGAAAGGACACTGGTCCCAGGATGAGTACCAGAAACTATTTGATTTAGTAAACACTGATATGCAGTTGAGGATCTCGGAAGAGAAGAAATCTAAGCATGGTATGCTGCGGGACAATGTGAGTTGGACGGCAATTAGTGATAAATTATCCACGCGCAGCGATTCAACTTGTTGTGCAAAGTGGTACACCCAGTTATCATCGCCTATGGTGGCTGAAGGTTTATGGTCAGACACTGATGATTACCGCCTGATTGACGCACTTTATAAACTGGATGCAACCTGCACAGAAAATGTGGATTGGGATAATCTTCTCGACCATCGGTCCGGAGACATATGTTTGAAGCGCTGGAAGCAAATGGTTCTTCACATAGGGAACCATGCAATCAAATCCTTTTCGGAACAAGTTGAAGTCCTTGCTAAAAGGTACTGTCCCTCCTTAATCGAAGTAAGAGAGGTTTGGGATAGCAAGCCTCTTGTACCTTGATTCTGGCAACACAGTTATTTACCTCGAAAAGTTCTGCCAAAAACGGAATTGAGAAGTTTTGCTTAAAACTCTTTCATTTTAGAGGCACCTTAGATGAAATGAAAGGTTCATAGCTGGTTCCCCCTTCCCTTCCCTCCCCTCCATTCATAACAACATACCCATAGTTTGTTGGTTTTTCTCGAGTGTGGCCTTTGCCGATGGTTTTACTAAGTCGACTGTTTCTATTCCAATTTTAAAAACACAGTTTTCCTGCTTTGAGCTTGTGTTGATACTTGATAGTAGATCAGTAGCTGGCTACACATATGCAGAGTGTCTTGATTATGTTGGCAAATGAATTGAATAATTTTGGCTTGAATCTCCGAATTTGGATTGTTTGGCCAATGGCTATTTGTTACCTTATTGAATACGAGTATGCACTTATTCAATTTCGTGCATAATTGAATAGGGCAAGGTTCCCATGACATTGTCCGGCAATGTCATGGGATGACCCGGGGGTGCTCCGGTGCCCCGTTCGTAAAATTGACAGTTCCTTGAATAACAACATACCCATAGTTCCCCTCTAAAAAAAACATACCCATAGTTTGTTGAATATATACACGAAATTCATGGGAGCCTTGGTGAATTGAATGTATACAAATAAATGAATGTCTTACTCAAAATTCAAGGAGTCATAGGCACTTGAAAAATTCTTTTTATAAAAGAAGGAAACATTTCACGTTAATACTCGCATTTTAAAAACGGTGGGGTTCTAGTGACACTGAAGTACGGTGCCACTCCGGTACCATTGGCATTTTGGGGCACCTCCGGTGCTCCGTTCGCAAAATTGATGGTTCATACCCTCCTAACCTACCACCTAAACCCCCCACCCAACCCCCGCCCCTGCACCCCCACCCAACCCCGCCGTAAACCCCCCACAAAATGTGTGGCTATTATGCAACTTGCATAATAGCCACACATTTTGTGGGGGGCTTACGGCGGGGTTGGGGTGGGGGTGCAGGGCGGGGATAGGGTGGGCGGTTTAGGGGGCGGGTTAGGGGGGCAGGAACCGTCAATTTTGCAAACGGAGCACCGAAGGTGCCCCAAAATGCCAGTGGCACCGTACTCCGGTGTCACTAGAACCTCACCGTTTTAAAAAAAATTACACACCAATTACGACTAGTAAGTTTTTTTTTTTTTGACAAATTGTAAACAGGTCACTCAAATTAAGACACTTGATTAAAAAATAAAATAAACAAAATATTGTATGTTACTCCACTCAAAATGAATTACTCCGTATAAGAATTAGAAGAAGGATTTGATTAACTTGATTCCTATGTTCAAATTCTAAAGAAAAATGTATATTTTTCCTATTATTTTTAGTGGTACGAGACTCTAGATTTATTACGCTTAGAAGATGGAGATTAGTCGGTCCGTTTTGATATCAATTTTTTTCTTTTTTAAACAAAGAGCGACAAGCAACACTTTAGGTAGGGTCGTAGGGATGTTCATCGGGTCAAACCCGGACCGGACCGGGACCGGACCGGGACCGAATAAGAGGAACTTTGTGGACCGAGGACCGGACCGCTTAAGGTAAGGACCGGCCCGGGACCGCACCGGTAAAACCCGGACCGGACCGGGACTGGACCGAATAAATGTAATTTTTTATTTTTTTTTAAATTTGGTTTTATTTATTTAATTTAAAGTTTTCAATTGTAAAAAAATATTACTACAATTAATTTTTCATGTGTAACATACACTAAACATTTTCAAACATTGATGTTTTTATTCTTTTTAAACTTTAGATAAAATATAGAGTAAATTCTATAATTAGTCCTTTATAACAGGGAGATTTCCCTATTTAGTCCTCTATTATCAAATATTATCCCTGTAGTCCTTCATCCATATTACATAAAACTTGTTTGTAATTTTTATTTTACATATAGAATATTCTTCATCTTACTGTGTTTTTACTTTTTTGTAATATTTTTTTGTGTTTTTGGTTTTTTGATAGACGGATACATTTTTTTACTGTTTTTGTTCATAAGATTGTTTACAATATTTTTTGTTGATTGGAGTTTTATTATTGATAAAGTACAAACTTAAGTTATAGTATTGATACATTAATTTGAAATGCATTATATCGCTTATGTAAAGATAATGTTTACTTTTTCACACTTTTCATGTTAAAAATATTTAAATATCATTAGAATTAATATCTTATTTTGAATTGGAATATATTAAATAATAAAATCAAAATATTTTAAAAACTTTTAGTATTAAAGTTAAATTAATTTTAAGTATAAGAAAAAAACTTTAAAACTATATTAGAAAACTATATAAAAAACAAATATTTAAAAAAAAAAATAAAATGTAACCGATCCACCGGTCCGGACCGAAACCCGGTGGACCGGACCGGAACCCGAATAAGGAAAATGTGAGGACCGAAGACCGGACCGAATAAGGACCGGTCCGGACCGGTCCGGTCCGGTTTTGGCCGGGTTTCGGTCGGTCCGGGTTCGGACCGAATAATGCACACCCCTAACTGTAGGTTTTCATATTAGTTTCATTTTTTAAAATAGTGGCAAAACATACCATTTGTTTCCATATTAAATTTATTGTATCGTGATAAATTACGAAATACTCTCTCGGTTCTGCATTGTAATTAATAATAAAAAAGAAGCGAAAAGCGAAATTAGGGCATCTTCTGTTTAGTTGGAATTCTAAAATTGGATGTTAGAAGAATTGGGAAGAAATTAAAAGGAATTGGAAAATGTTGAAAAAATAGTGTTAAAAACTCATTCAATTAATTAATCACCTAAATAAATATGTAAAAAAACTAATTCTCAATAAAACAGTTTATCTTTGCCCATCTTTGAGATAGTATATTATAAATTTGAATATATGATGTTACTTTATATTTGTCATATATTACTTTTTTTTAAGTCATTGGAAACAACTAGTAATTTTTTTTTAAAAAAACTAATTAAAAACCGTTGAAAGAAAATAAAAGAAATTAAAAAAGTTAGAAGTTAAATTTATTGACTCATTAAAACAACTCTAACATGGAACCAACAATGATTATAGTGTAATAAACAAAAGGAAACGAAAATCAGCAGAATACGTGTCGTTATTATAAAAACAAATACGGAGACCAAGGATTATCCCCCGCTTTTTAAAGTGGAAAAAATAAAAAGAAAATAAAAAACTAGCGGATCAGTTCGCTGCTATGTTGAAAAGGCAATAAAAATACTCCCTATGTCCCCAATTTGATTACAAATAGGGGTTTACGGGGAAAAGTATCTCATTTTTTGAAATAATTTTATTAATAAATCGGTATATTAATAAAAAATAAAAATTATATATTAAAAAATTTCGTCAAAAGTTTTATAAAACAAGATGTGACAAGAATATTTTATTTTATATAATACTTAACGAAATCGCATAAACAAACAAAAGTTATCAAGAGGATAGAAAAAAATTGTAACCAAAATGAACGGAGGTAGTATAGAAATCTGTGGCAGATGGTTAGATAAGGGATGAAAAGAACACTTGTCACGTTATAAAATAAAAGTTTATGTGTGAGGTGATTAAATAGAGGGGAATTTACTTAAATATACTAAAAGATTTTTTCAATGTAGTAATATATATTTTTATTTCTCAATGTAGTATTACTATTCAATGTATACTGGTCATTGTTCAAGTAAATGTCTAGGGACTTTGTTCAAGTAAATGTCTAGCACAAGTGGACACTATACAAACTAAATATTTGCTATCACTATACTTTGTTCCCACCACTAGACATTATTCAATTATTATTTAGAAAATAAAAAGTTTAAGTACTACATTGGAAAATTATATGTTTTAGTACTTAATGCAAATTTCACTTAAGTAGATGGTTTGAGAGAGTAATATGATTTTTTAAAATTTGAAAGTATTGAGGTACAACTCCCTCTGCTTCAATTTAAGTTGATTATTTACTATTCACACGGTCAAACTTCAACTACGTTCTTTATCTATTTTTCGCGATTCATTTGAAAAAAATAATATGGTCTTGCCACCTCTTGTTTTATAAAATTTCTGATGCAGTTTTTAAAAATATAATCTTTTTAATTTCTACCAATTTTCAAAACCTCTTCAACAATAACAACAACAGCAAAGTGCTCTTTTTTAGAGCGAGGGGTAAAGAATTTGTAGATGTTTCTCTCTGCTGGTTCATATTAATTTATTGCTTATAAGCAATTTTTAACTTGTAAGTTGCTTATAAGTTAAAAAAAATTCGTACAGATAAGATGACTTAAATGACATATAAGTCATTTGGGGATATTAATAATAGATGAGTGATAGTTTTGTAAGTAATCTAGTCAAAACAGAGAAAACGAAAAAAAACTTACTTAAAAATAAGTAAGTGCAAATTATATTATACAACCGGCTGTATCCAAAATTGGGTGCAACTGGTAAAACGAAAGAGGAAGAAGAGTTGCGTCGACGAAATCGAAGGGGTGAAGAAGGGCGACAAAAATCGAAGGGGTGCTCTGTAAATTAATCCGATCGAATACCGGCGAAGGAGAAGCGCACCGACAACGACAAAGGAGAGCTATTGTCGATCGAGGAAGGAGAGGGGCTCTGTCGATCGAGGAAGAAAGTTGCTATCAAGCGGAGGAGAGGCGCGGGGATGAAAAACCCTACAGTTGTGTGGCTGGGTCGGGTAGGAGAGAAAGAAAGTTATTTATGGTATAAATTTTATTTTGCTTGAGAATGAATACTAAGTTATTTAAGAATGAGTAGTATTTTATTTCAAAGTGAATAGTATGTTATTCATATATGAATATTATAGTTGTATAGAATAAATATGTGAAAATGAGTATTATGTTATTTCAGAATGAGTATCATGATATTTCAAAACGAACAATTATTTTTATTGAGAATAAATATTACTTTACTTCAAAATAAGTAATATGCGGATGTAACTATTTTAAATATAAACTATCCGGAGTATATACCTTCTAGTAAGTAAGACTTACAAAACAACTTATAAACCGGACAACTTATAAACCGTTTTGAGAGGCCACAAATGGATAGAGTCGCTTTCTCTTTTCATTATTTTTTCTCTCGGCCAGTTTACCGCTAGACTTCAGTGATAGGAGACTCAGCTGGAGGTCCGACCCTTTCTAACCACCGGAATGGCCGCTCTCAGTTGCATGAATTGGTTTAACGCCAGAATGACTGTTCTACCCTCGGCGGCCATCAAAGATAATACTGAGAACCAGAGAATTGAGCTTCAAGAGAAGGTTAAATGGTCAAGGGTTCTGATACTAGGCGGAACCGGAAGGATTGGTGGTTCCACCGCAACTTCTCTCTCTAATCTATGTCCTGACCTGAACATCATCATCGGCGGCCGGAATAGGTGAGTAGCTCAATTCGTTTGTGTTTCTAGAATTTGTGGGAAAATAATGATTATAGACGTATTATGCACGTTTTAGTTTTTAAGTGTACAATTAGATTATTATTGTTGTTGTTGTTGTTCACATTTGTAATTTTTTTGTTGATATTTATGCAGAAAAAAGAGAAAACTATTATGAATATACAATTTGTTTCAAAAAAATAAAATAGAAATGGAGAACCTTATCCCGAAGGAATAGAAAAGCTGAAAAGGGAAGTGAACACTTTTTTTAGGACACAACTACTAGATTTATAAACTTATTGTAGGGCATCACCTATCCTTTTGACTCACTCTTAGTTTGGTCCGTATACCATATTCTTTAAATTATTGAATTGGATCTTTAAATATGACTAACTATATTCCTAATTACTGTTGGTAGTTATGAATCATTGTACAATTCTTTCAACAGAAAAGTATAACCTTATTTGGAAGGTACAGAAAAAAGGAAGTGAAGACTTTTTCTAGGACAACAAGTAGTTTCATTGCAGGGCATTCCTCTGCTTATGACTCACTCTTAGTTTGGTCCATATTCTTAACATTATTGGAATTGGATGTTTAAATATGACTCCCTCTGGTCCAAATTAGTGTTTGTAGTTTCTCTTGTACATAGACCAAAACTCTATTCTTTTAGGTTGGAATTTCAGAGTTGGATATTGGAAGAAACTAGAAGGATTTGGAAAAAACTAGGAGTTGGAAAATGTTGGAAGAATTAAAGTGTTAAAAAGTCACTCAATTAAATGATCACCCAAATAAATATGTAAGAAAATTCTAATTTTGGGTAAAAAATGATTCATTATTGTCTGTGTTTGAGGTGGTATGTTATAAATTTGGATAAACAATGTTATTTTATATTCATCATATATAAATACCTTTTTGAAGTCGTTCGAAGAAACTAGAAAGAGTTGGAAGGAACTGGAAGTTGAAAGAAACTAGGAGTTGGAAAAAGTTGGAAGTTAATTTTTCCAACTCAAAAGAATAGAGCCTAAGAGTGAATAAAAATAGGTAAAAAATTGTGTGGAGTTAGTTATTGAGGAGAAATAAATGGTGTGAGTTGATGAAAAATTTTATGGAAAAGTTTATGCGGTATGAAAGAATTGCTAAACATGGAAAGGTGAGGACTTATTTAGAACAACAACAAAAAAAGGATATAGTGAACTATAATAAGGAATAGAGGAAGTACTATTTTAATGTTCTGCCTAGATCTTGTTTTAAAACAAACACGTGCATGAATATGTGATCTAAAATTGGTTTCATACAAAAGGCTCCAAATATGAATTACTTTAGTCCCGAGAAATTGTCAGCTGAGCTGCCTTAACCTAATGAAATCCATGATTGTGAACAGGAGATAGGGGTTTCGAACCATTTTTAACGAAGTACAAATGTAGATCACATGTTACGCATATGTTTATTGTAAAGATATACATGGACAGAAGTGCATAGTTAAATTTAAATGCAGAGTTGTATCCATAGGTGCAAAGAATTGAAAGATAGAGACCAAATTGGTAGTGAGATTACTGTGATAAAAAAAATAAAGCCAAGGTGGTGTTATCCTAACTCTTACCTGTCATTACTCCATATTACCACACAAAGATTGGACATTAATGAGGTGGTAATTGTGACTAAGGTTTTTCTTTTCCTGCACTTTTACAGTAGAAAATGATTTTCTATTTTCAGCAAACTTAGAACTATTTTGGAGAGCTACAAACAAGGCTTGGCACTGATGAAGTCTTTGTATGTTGTGCAACAGGGAGAAGGGTGCTTTTGTGGTGGCAAAACTGGGAAAGAATTCAGAGTTTGCTGAAGTGAATATAGACGACAAGGCATCTTTGGAAGCAGCATTGAAAGGTATCTCACATTCCTCTGCATTTTCCAATTTGAAACTCTTCACAAGTAGTGAAAATGGTGGACTGCCAGTTCAATGTGAATGTTTTCTTTTTCTTTAATTTCTTTTTATTTTTAATATTTGCTTCCTGCCTAATCAGTATTTGTGTGATGTGCAGATGTTGATCTTGTTGTTCATTCTGCTGGGCCTTTCCAGCAGACCGGGAACTGTAATGTACTAGAAGCTGCCATTCGGACCAAGGTGAGGAAAAGGTAACCAGCAAATTCTGTTTCCAGCTTCCTTCGACATTCTCCGTGTGATTTCTATTTCATATTTGAACTACATTTCGACACGACCTGAACTTTTCCTAACCATAAATTTGAGAACAGACTGCATATCTTGATGTTTGTGATGACACAAGCTATGCATTTCGTGCAAAGTCGCTTATGAATGAAGCACTTGCTGCAGATGTGCCTGCAATAACTACAGGTGGCATCTATCCCGGAGTGAGTAATGGTACTATATGGTTCTTTAAATTTATCCCTTAAAAGTGCATATATATGATTTATGCAAGTCCTATTTTCATCATATTTATATGTTTATAATTGTTCATGTCAGAAATCATCTGCGTCAGATGATTCTTCATATACTTAATCCGAAGGGTTATTACAAAAACTGCCTCCAACGTTGACATTTTGTGCACTTTGGTGCCCAATCGTGGTGTCCTTGTGGTAAAGATCTAATTTTGAAGTTCTGACAAAATCTTGGAGAATATTCCATTCTCCCTCTTTCACATGCTGAACGCATGCACCAGTCAAGGGTTTTTTTGGAAACCCACCATTGCACATCATCTCCGCCTAAAAATGTAGGGCAGATTAAGAGGCTGTTTGGCCTAGCGTTTGAGGCTGAATGTCAAAATAGAGCTCAAATGGAGCTGATAAGTTTTTACCGAGGCATTTGGAGACTGTCCCAAAATCTCCCCAATTTTATTTAAAATACCTACTTTTATTCTTTCTCAAATATTCTACCACATCTTAATAAATACCCTTATACATAATTTTACATCACAATAGCAACAACTCAGCTTTAGCGACCTCTACCACCTTAAACCACTACTCTGCGTCTTTGTGCACTTCTCTCAAACACACATCCCAACTTTTCCATCCAAACTCAGGTGGTCACCATATCTGTCATGATGGTTTTGTCATCAAACAAGATTTCATGATTTTCATCAATATTCAATGATTTCAATCGTCCACAGGCCACAGCTCATAGTGGATGAAACATAACTTGCTGACAATCCTTACAGTCCTCCGCGCCTTCGCATCCAGATCCAGAGGGATTTTGCTAACATAATTGTAGTTTGATCATAGAAGTGCCTGCTCTTTGCACAAGATTTTAACCCTTTTTACCAAACTTTGTTGGACAAGCACCCCATTGAAATAATCGAAGTACCATGATTGGGTATTTGTTGTCATTACTAGAAATGGAAATGTAATTCTACAACGCTCCTTGAAAAGATTTTCACGAAAGACTTTAATCATTTTGTTTCTTTGCCTAATTTTGGTGTGAGACAATGTTTAATGGTGGATTTCCAAGAATACCCTTAACGGGTGCACATGTTTAGCATATGAAGGAGAGAATGAAATATTCTCTAAGATTTTTAAAACTTCAAAATAGTGAGGTACTACAACCACTATGATGCAAAGGTTGGGTATGATGGCACACTAAGGGTCAAACGTTATGTGGTTTCAATAATTAACCATTCCATAGTTGGCATGGATTTACCTTTTGACCGATACGATCAAGGGATCAGACTTTTCATCTTATGGACATAATTCTGTGTCATGAAATTCCAAATATGTAGCATAATGCTTAGTTGATTTTCCATTATTATGCTCCTATCTACACACACACGTTTGGGGGGGGGGGGTTGTTTCTATAGGTTTCCACCCATGTATTTGACTTGAACCCTTTTCCCACTATAAGTCTATAATGGCAGCTGACCCCACTCTACAGGACCTTGCTTAGGGTCAAGTGTTAGGGTTGGTTTCTGTTATCAACCCTTCCATAACTGCCGGCAGGGATTTGCCTTTTAACTGATGCAATCCTGGGGTCAGTGTTTTAGTATTAGCAACCTATGTCCGTGTCATTACCAAATGCGTATGATGTTTTTTTTTTACATTATTATGATACCTCCACCCCTGTGGAAAATTTTGCTGTTTTGTTTCCATCCATGTATTAGAATTGAAACCTTGTACCACTATAAGTACATAATGGCCATGATGGTACATGGTAGCTGACCTCACCATGAGACACTGAGGTCTTACTAGGTTGTTGGCTTGTTGCTGTTGTTGTTGGCAGTGATGGCAGCAGAGCTTGTTCGCGTTGCAGGCATTGAGAGCAAAAGTAAGCCCGAGAAACTAAGGTAATTCTACCCTTTCACTTCTAGATTTCCAGTTTTCGACCTTTTTATTTTGAGAAAATTGTTTGGTTATCATGACTCTTGACAAAATCTTTTTTCATAATTTTGATTATCTTCCTCCATGTATATGTTTCATGATTTAGTGGATCTTTTACTCCAATATTGGCCATTTTTAGGTTCTATTATTATACTGCTGGCTCAGGTGGTGCTGGCCCAACAATTTTAGCTACAAGTTTTCTGCTTCTTGGAGAAGACGTAGTTGCATACAATAAAGGTCTATTTCTGAGATACACCCAAATTCTTAAGCCCAGGCTATGTCATCCTAAGTTTATGAAAGTTGTGAACATGTTGGGTTATCATACCAGGCACTGAAATCAAATTGAAGCCTTACAGTGGTATGCTAAGCATTGACTTTGGAATAGGGGTCGGAAAGAAAGATGTCTTCCTTATGTAAGTTTTTGAACAAAATTTTTGCAACAATGCTCAAAAAGTTATTCCTGTTTCCTCTTACTACTCTAGTCGCTCTTATTCCCCAATTAGATTCATTTAAACTATAATCCAAACAAAAAAAAACCAGTATATCCCCCACTCAAGCGTAGGAATGTAGCCATGTAGGATATGGGGGTAAAATGTAGGCATACCTTATCTATATCATAAACTTTGTTGTGGTAAGTTGCACTGGGATAGGAACCAGGACTCATCTGGGGATGGGGAACGGGGTCATAAACGTGGAAACATCAACTTTTCCAAATTTTATAAAAGATTTGGGTGTTGGGACGTCCCCAAGTATCCAAATGGGAACATTTTGAGCACGGGAAGCTGCACTTATTTGAAGAGTCCGTGCAACACGGGAAGCTGCACTTATTTATCATGTCTACTAATTTTCACCGCAATCCCCACTATGTTGCGGCCGATGGCATGAAATTTATGGTCCTAATTAAATAAAAGTCATTTAGTGTTTTGAAAAGAACATATTGTTGAAGATTGTCACTACCTTTCCATGCAGGGGTAAGGTCTGCGTGCGCGCACACACACACGCACCACCCGACCCCACTCAGGGTGGGACTTTAGTTGGATAGGTTTTTGCTGGCTTTTGTATATTGTTAAAGTTTATCATCTAACTTTTGTATTTGCAGAAATTTGCCTGAAGTGAGAACTACCCATCATACCCTTAGAGTACCAACTGTCAGTGCTCGGTTTGGAACTGATCCATTTTTCTGGAACTGGGGAATGGTGGCCATGACAAATTTACTTCCAGCAGTATGTTTGTTGCTTTGTGTATTATTCCATTATGGATGCTTGGGTGCTATTATTGAAAGATTGTTGCATGCCTCTAAGGAACTAGCACTAAACTGACTAAAGTTCTGTAGAAATTTGTGATGGTTTTGATACCTAGTAAACACTTTTCGCATTTTTGTACCATTTAATGGACATGGTTTTTCAGAAATATTTGAAAGACAAAAGAGGAGTTCAGCAGCTTGTTAAATTATTTGATCCACTTGTTCGGGCAGTCGACCAGATCTCTGGAGAGAAAGTCTCAATGAGGGTAAAACTGCCTGCTTTAATTTTCATTCTTTTGCTTCTTTAAACAAAAAAATTACTGGAGTACAGTTTTTCCATGGGCGAGCTACAGTTGTAAGCTACCCAAAGGGTATAGTGATTTTAGGGGTTGATCTTTGGAACAGGTTGATTTGGAGTGTTCAAATGGGCGGCAGAGAATAGGTATATTCAGTCACAGAAGACTCTCTAGGTCTGTCCATACGCTTTCACTCATGTCTTGCTTCAGTTACTTCTGTAGAGCATAGCAATATAGCATCAATCTTCTTTAGAGAAAAATATTCACTTTTCAGATCAGTCGGAAACGCGACAGCTGCATTTGCGCTGGCAATTCTTGAAGGAAGCACAAAACCCGGAGTTTGGTTTCCGGAAGAGGTATATATTATTCTCCTTCACCCCCCAAATGAGTTTTACACTTTCCTTTTTAAGTCCTCCCGAAAAATTAACTCTAGCCTTCTCACATTTCCTATTTAGGAAATGAATGTGTGGCCTCACAAGTCACATGGGTTCTCTCTTCTAAACATATTTCAATCACACTTTTAAACACCATAGTTTTCTAAACATGTTTGGTTGTTGTTGTGTAGCCAGAAGGGATTGCTATTGAGGCGAGGGAAATCCTGCTTAGACGTGCGGCTCAAGGGACCATCAATTTTGTAATGAACAAGTATTGACCCGCCGCTCACCCCATTCCCATTCTCTCCTTTGATTTATTACTCGGGTATTATTATTATACGGCTTGAGATTGAGAAGTGAAATTGATTGTTTTTTTTTCTATTCATAATAGGACTCCATGGATGGTAGAGGCAGGGCCTAAAGAGATTGGTTTTGGCATTTATGGGTGATGTTAACACCTTTACTTATAAGCCTATCTATTGTGGTGGGGCTTGATGGGGTGCCTTACAGACGTCCCGTAAGTGGATGCATGGATGTGAGAAAATGCCGCTGGATGGGATGTAAACACCTTTACTACTCCCTTTTAAATTGGAACATCACGGAGTAGGTTTAATCTTTGGTTATTTTTTTAATTTTATACCAATGTTGTATTCTGAAATAAATTAAAAGAAGAATTCACATAAATACTCCAAGAAATATGTGATTTTATGTTAATACTCTAAAATTGAATAATTGATGCTATTAGTCCAAGAAATTATTCAATTATACACCAATATTCCAAGCTACCAACTAAGTTCAATATGTGACATTTTAAATGGTAACTAGACAATTTTACTTAATACTTCCTCCGTTCCAGAGTATTTGTCCACTTTCATTTTTACACACTATCCAATACACTACTTTAATCCATTTTATCTTGTAATTTGTATATTAAAAAATTATAAAAATTATATATTAATAATCTATATGTTAAGACAAATCAACAAGGTCACACATGACTATATTTAGGCTTACATATTGAGAGAATTTGATGAGTCAAAGTGCTTAGATGAACAGTTCCAAAAAGTTAAAAGTGGACAAAAATTGGGGGACGGAGGGAGTACTTCATTTTAAATGGAGTATTAAGGATGAGTTGCTAATTGATTACAAAAATAAAGAAAATACATCGAATGCATTATAATTAACCCTTTCATATCGATATAAAATAAAAATAAATTAAAACCGAAAAATAAAGTGTTTATATTTTAATCGTATGAAAAGTGTTTCGGATAAAAACATCAGAAAGTTTTAAAGTTGATATAATGTTGGATTTATATTTTAAAAATCTTTCCAATGAATATAAATTTGAACATGAAATTTGTACTTCAAAATTTTTAATATTGTCTGAAACAATATTTTTCTTTAGTTTTTATCACTCCGTAGTTACCAAAAAAACACTTACTAATTTACAGTCATAATTCAAAATGTCACGTCTATTTTTCTTAATTGATAGCTCAGAGTATTGGTATAAAATTGAGCAATTTTTGGGAATAGTGGTGTAAATTATTCAATCTCAAAGTATTAATGTAAAGTTTCAAATTTCATGGAGTGTACATGTAAAGTTTTTCAAAATTAAATTAAAATAATCTAGCAAAACATCATAAACCAAAACATAGAAATGTGGACTTATTTAATGAGTATTTGATAGTATAAAAAATTAGACCAATTATGGTGTTTTTTCTATTTGCAGATAAATCTTTCAACACCTTATATTCTCACTATCACTTATGCATCTTTAAACTAGTTGCAAGTTTTTTAAAAGGATGTTACATCCATTTCTCTTATGGTTAAATTTACTCTATTTAATGTTAAATGAACAACTTTGTCCTTAAAAACATAAAGGGTCCGTTTGGTACATGTAATTGATGGAATTAGAAACAAGTAGAGAGTTGAAATTCTATGAAATTGATTTGAATGAAATTAAATACTTCATTTCCAATTAATTTTTGGCCTACCAATTCCAAAGTCACATATTTTTGTGCTACCAAATAAAATCAGAATTGTTATCTCCAATTTTAATTTCATACTTTGAATTCCGTGTACCAAATGAAACTAGAGGATATTAGATTTTAACCATTTTCCCAGAGTCAAACTTTACTGACTTTGCTTATATTTACTACTCATTTCATAAAATAATATAATCTTGTCACCTGAAGTTTTTATAAAATTTTTCATGTACTTTTTTATTTCATAATTTTTATTTTTGATTTTTTTCTTACAATCAACTAAATTAAATTAAAAATAAAATCGATCAAAACTCGTAATGCGCAATGAGAAGATCTTTTGTGAACGAAGAGGGTAAAAAGTTAACAGGTACATTGGGACAAAAGTACTCATTATGCAACAATTACTTTTGCAACACCATTTTTTTGAGTGCACACCACTGTTGATTCTCCGGCAATGCTAAACCTCTTTTTCATTGTGATAACGTGAAATACACAACAAATGAGGGAAGCATGGGATTTTCCATATAAAAAGAAATTATACAAAAGGGCACACATGGCACTGTAGAATTAAATGAAATGAAATAAAAGAAGGCGTTATATACACAATCAATTAAATAACAAAAGAATTTAAGATTTCTCGCGAACACACACAGCAGCTTCTGCAGAAGGGTTCTAAATCCGCCGTCTCTTCCAGGTGCAGCTAAACAGAGCGTGAATTTAGCTTGCGTATCGAGTATAATAACTTGTCCATTGAAATGATCAAGTCATGATGAATGATATCAAGTGCTTCACACAGTTGATCTGGCACCTCAAGAAATTTAGGCAGCAATAGTAAAAGCTGAGTAGAAACGACTAGTGGGATGGGAGCAGAGAGCAAGCACTAAACCTCATCACGAGTACCAGTTCGACTGATGACTTGTATCAGAGTCTCTGGGCTGTGATTTGCCATAGGCTCTCCAAACATCACTTCTTTGCCATCTACTCCCACTCCTCTCAAATGGATAGTTTTGAGACTCCATTTGTGTTTTCATAGTGCCTCCTCTGTTCCCTCTAATACTTTGACCGTTCCTTATCTCTTCTTCAAGATCATATCGTGCACGCTACAAGGTGGCAGCATTGTCATTATTGTTTGTGTCAAAGATCAAAACTTTCCATGGATTAAGTTGATCGACATAAAAAAAAACCTGGTGTGGATAAAATAATAATAATACCTTGGCAGGATCTGAGAGCAGTGCATAGGCCTCCCCTATCATTTTGAAAAGCCGGTCAGCATCTCTGCGAACCTCTTCTCCTATTTCTCTCCAAGTTCCGTCATCTGCATTGTCGTGTTTATTTACCAATTGCCCAGCCTAAAAATCAAACCGTATTAGTCTCTAAAAAAACTAATGCTAACATTGCAGCAGTTAAGGTCGCATAGAGAACCTACCTTGTCAGGATGATGTTTGAGTGCTGCTTTTCGATAAGCCTTCTTAATATCTGATGACGCAGCAGATGGGTCAACTCCCCTGGGATTTCACAAGTACACCCTATTGTTGTTAGAGCTAAGTCCATGAATGAAATCAAACACAAGCCAGTCCCACATCTCAGAAGCATTCATGTAATTCTGCTATAGTACTATACCACATGGAAGTCGATTGTAGCATTCCCCTCCCTCACTTCAAGCAACTAACTAGTGCATAAAACCCCAAAGGTTTTTTGTATGATCGGGGGATCAAACTTTGGGGTACAATAGATTTTTTTTAAACATTATGCTAGCATATTTAATAACTCAAGAATCTTCAAACACCAAGAATGCATGCAACCCTCTACTGTGAAATGGATAACTAAAAGTTGTTTTGAGCATATCAAGTCAACACGCATTACCAGCCAGACAGTAAGACATGGTTATCAACATTCACAAGATATGTGATTGAAATACAAACGTCACACTACAAGATACAATTTTCCACAACTTTAACTTCATGTTTCCTTTTCTGTATGTCCCTAAATAATATCTCTTTCCTTATTGGTTAACGTAAATATCTTACTTTAATACTCTCATGTAATATTCCCACCTACCACCAACAATTATTCTAAACAACAATTACTAGGGAAAATTTGATATTTAAAAGCAAAACATTTGCTGCATAAAAAACTGTCAGACAAGTAACTTCAAGTAAGGATGGAGGGAGTATAACTTACAGTATTAGGTACATATTCAAAGGGATTTCATTTTTGTCTTCATTTTCCATTCTCAAAAGCTTCTGTTGTGTTTGCCGGATCTCATTCACAAGAGAACTTTTATCTGAATGGTTTGCCTTATTTTCCATTTGCCTTGTGAGGAGGGAAATAAGTCTTTGAAGATCAGAAGCTGCTTGTCCGAAATCCCTGATCATCTCAAGCAATGATGCTCGTCTAGATATTGCCTGCAAGCAAGTATTGCCAATGAATGCTGGCCAAATTTCTACCAAATTCGAAATGCCTGGTGATACTGATACTTTCAGTAAATGTAATACCCAAGTTGTCGAGCACATGGTTGTTAAGTCAACAAGTCGAGTCGAGTCGGTGAAGGGGAGATTGGTGGACTAGTCGACTAGTCGGCCTACTAGTCGTAGACTAGTCGACAAATCACAATTAGTATTGAAAATTTTAACATTATATATATCTTCATTCACCCAATGACCCAAGATAACTATATATATTTATATGACAAAATATCAATATGTTTAAAGGTAAAACATAAAGTCACTAAAAAAATAATAAAACTGAAAAATTAAGAGTATAATATACTTTAATAGTCTAATGAACCAAATTACAGAAAATAAAACTGAATTAAGAGTATAGTTTAATGATAAATAATTAAAGATAGAGAGATATTACTTATGGATAGAGAGCGTGTGAGTACTAGAAGATGAAGAAGAATCAATTCCAAAAAATTGATTCTGGAACTGCGAACTCTGGAAGATATCGATGAAGAAGATGTCGCAATTTGGGAATAGTTAAATGTTGATTCACTGGATTTTGATTGTGCTGATTGAACTGATCGAAGGAGGCTGGGTTTTATTGAGTAATTTTTAAAGTTTAATGAAATTTGGGTCGGGTCAGGTTGGTTCAAACTGGGCAGGTTTTCTTCATGGACTAGTCATTGCCTAGGCACCATAGTTTGTAAGGCGTCGCCTAGGCGACGCCTAGGCGTCGCCTAGGCGATAAGGCGTTGTCACTAGGACGCCTTGCCTGCTCGCCTCGCCTAGAAAACCTTAACGCGATAAGGCGCTCGCCTAGGCGTCGCCTTTCCTCGCCTTAACTCGCCTTGATGCCTTGGGCCCCTTTAAAATTTTGAAAAAAACCAATTTTTAGTGCAGCCCATTTTCTTTTAATGAAGCCTAATAGACTTAAACTTATCTTCTCTCTCGGTCTTCTCTGTCTCGATTAAGCTTCTTTAAAATGTATAAGACTTATATGTGTGTGTGTGTGTATGTATATATATGTGTGTGTGTATGTATATATATGTGTGTGTGTGTGTGTATACAATTATACATATAGGTATGTATGTATGTATGTCGCCTAGTTGTCGCCTAGGCGTGCGCCTAGTCGCCTAGGTGATATGAAGGTACATTGGCGCCTCGCCTTGCCTTGCCGCATTACAAACTATGCTAGGCACACCTAGGCGTTGCTTAACTTGCCCAGTCGCTAGTCGAAGTGCAAGTCACCATTCAGAAAACGCCTGGACGACTAGTCGTCGACTAGTCGACGACTTGACAACAATGGTTGAGCATCACTCCGAGGCATGTCTAAGTGCCAAAGACCCATACCCCACAAACCCCTAAGGTATAATAAATCAAATATTTCTTTAAGAACGTGTTTTGCCAAATCATCAACAATAGCATGCATTTAGCCTCGCGTTTATATCACCACCATGGTACCAAAACAATTTACATTTGTTAAGGAAATCATATTGCAAGGGGAAAACTATATGCATCAAACCTTTACGTAATTTCCATCAAGAGCTATAGAGAGGTTGCAATCTGCAATGGCGTCCAAAATTTGGCCCACAGCTCGGTATGCAGCAGCACGATTGCAAAAACAAATGGCTGAAAAGGGCCGTGACTCGACATTACATGATATAGCAGCACTGTAAAGGTCAATAGCATCCACAGGCTTTCCTGATTTAAATGCTTCATTTCCTAAAGCCTACAGTAGGAAACATTTATCTTTAAATCAGACATCAAAAACATCTTTCTTCTTCATCAAACAATAACAACAAAACCTTATCCCCCTACTGTAAAGGTCAATAGCATCCACATGCTTTCTTCTTCATCAAACAAGTTAAAAATTTAAAACATCTAAAGAAATGATTTAGCCCAATTCAGTCTATCACCAATGCTGCTCAAATTCATTATTCGTGTCATCATGGTATTAACTAACGTCTAATTGGGTTTCAGACTGTCCTTAAAGAACATAATGAAATCTGATCATAAAAATATCGTGAAAGTGAATGGTGAAGGATTTGACGATGAGCTAGATGCTTAGTTGGAGACCCTTTACTTTGGAACAGGGCTTTGAAAGTGAAATCACTGGAGGTCCAATCTGACCCTTTCTCATATGTACAAAGGGCATTTTAGGAAAGTCAACAAATTTATCATTTACCTAAATAATCGTGCCAAAGAAGAAACATATTGGATGGAGGGAGTATAAATTACATACGATGTGGTTAAGTAAAGGATACGGCAACAACAACTCGACAAGTCAGCACTAGGATGTTAGTAAGTGCTAACGAAACAGAAAATATGTCTAGAAAATAAGTTTAAAAGTACCCTTTTGGCTTGGGAGTTGGGAAATAGGGAAATACTACTCGGAAATTAAAAAAAAAGGAAACAGAAAGATTCTCTAAAAGAAAAAGTGGATCATCCTTTGGTATTCTTAGCTGTTATGGCTCAAATGAAAAAAAGGATTTAAAATGCTTTTGTTTGCTGCTATTTGGACAAAAGAAAATGAGGGTGCTTGAGAGAGAAATTCAGCCTAGTCTACTCCTAAAAATTACGGCAGTACCATACAGCCCGGACTCAATTTCTTTTTGTCCGGACAGTCCTAATACGGTCCCAATTCAAATTTCTTTTTGTCCGGACAGTCCTAATACGGTCCCAATATGTCTAGAAAATAAGTTTAAAAGTACCCTTTTGGCTTGGGAGTTGGGAAATAGGGAAATACTACTCGGAAATTAAAAAAAAAGGAAACAGAAAGATTCTCTAAAAGAAAAAGTGGATCATCCTTTCGTATTCTTAGCTGTTATGGCTCGAATGAAAAAAAGGATTTAAAATGCTTTTGTTTGCTGCTATTTGGACAAAAGAAAATGAGAGAGAAATTCAGCCTAGTCTACTCCTAAAAATTACGGCAGTACCATACAGCCCGGACTCAATTTCTTTTTGTCCGGACAGTCCTAATACGGTCCCAATTCAAATTCTAGGCAATCCCATTAGGCCCAATTGATTGGCAATTCTGTTTGACCCAGCTCAAATATCCTGCATTCCTGCAGGGCTTGTATTTTGAGTAGTGAATTGTTTGTATGAATCCAAGCTTGAAACTAAGACATTCCAGCTGGTGGAGAACTGTTGATTCTGTTGGGCGAATTGAGTGTGGAGGCTCGACAAAGAAGGGCAGCCGGCCCTAGTCTTGGTTCGACCCATATGGCAGTAAATTAGGTTTTGAATTTGGCCGGCCCTAATTCTCTATGTGGGCTTGGGCCTAACTTGGGGATTAAGTTTTCAACCCTAGTTTAGTCTTCATAAATAAGGATCTCTGTACTTGTAATTCTGTGAGCACTTGAATAATAAAAACCCTAGTTGCAAAGTGGATTAGGTCAGCCGACCGAACCACTATAAATCTTGTGTTCCGTTTTTCTCCGTTTTGATTTCTGGTTTGTGTGTGTTCTTGTTTGGTTGTGGTTTGCTATTCAGTATTCATAGATACCCCAACAACTGGTATCAGAGCCTTAGGTTCGTGATCATTGAAGTCTTCCATCGGGTTCGTGAAGATCAGGTTCAAATCGAAGATTAGGGTTTCGAAGGGTTTGAAGATCAGTTCCGCCAC